ACTCTCAGAAAGAAAACTTTTCACACCCACTAGTACCAACCCACCACATAGAAACGACTCCCACATACAACAAGAGTCGCAACTCCTTCCAGGTACGCGCAGCAGACCCCTCTCACGCTAGCGTAAATAGTTATAACGGAGGCTACGTGCCTAGCCACGAAGACTATTTTGCAAACAACCATACATGTCACAATAGGCCTGTACAAGATTTTTTTGGAATACGACCTCTAGTGACACCTCTGTTCAAGCATATAGCTCAAGTTATTTCAAACCACATGCAAAACATAAACGCGTTTCCCCCGTACATTTTCCATCAGAGAGTGCTCCCACCCTTTCCTCCTGGGTAAACTCCCCAATCAACTTCACTAGCTCATTTGATACATCCCCCACTAAGTCTAGCTATAAAAATACCGAGCTATTGAAGAACATTCAATCCATTAATTCTGACTCATCTCACACCCGCGAGGGTTACAACGACTTTATTCGAGATACTCTCACTCATTTTAATCTAGTAGGCCATTTGTTTAATATATGTCTCATCAACGCTAGGTCGATCTGCAATAAAAAGACGGATTTAGCCATGTTTATATCCATATATCAACCATCACTTATTATAATATCTGAAGCATGGACTAACAGTAATATTTCCGACATAAGTATATCTCTTGATAACTATTTCCTATATAGAAGTGATAGATTGAATGGACGAGGCGGAGGATGGCTGATTTACGCTCACTCTAGCCTAAACTCACTACTATGTGATATGCCTGAACTAAACAAACTGAAGGATTCGGTGTGGATTGTATTAAAGCCGTCGAATTCTGTTACCTTACGGTTCGGCTGTGTTTACCGTCAACCTAACGCATCAATAGATGACATAGCAGTACTATCGGAAGTATTCACACTAGCTTCATCCCTTCCATTCACAGGCAAGCTTATTTGTGGTGACTTCAACATGCCCGAAATTTCCTGGTTTCCAGTCAAGGCGCCGAAACGTTATGAATCATTTATAGAATGTCTAGAGCTTGGACAACGGAAATGAAGTCAGTCGCCATTATTTTCCGCAATTCTACTTGTAGTAGCGTTAAACATCTTGTTGGACATAATGGTATTGGAGGTTATGGCGATTGTCCGTTATTATCCAACTACTCAATGTCACTCAGTGTGCAATCAACTTAATATGTTTCTGTCGGTATACGAAAGATATCATGATAGGGAACACGTAGCCTACAATGTTCACAGTTTAAGCCCATTGCTACCCATGTAGTTTGATATATATGCTAAGAATCATATTCTGCCTTTTTGAATCATATATGAGAAAAATTAGGTGTTCAATACCCCGGGGATTCACTGTGGTTAGACGGTCTGCTCAGTAATATGCCTAAGAAGTTCACCTTTAAAGTCCAATTAATCATGACATATAAACTAATTTGAATAAGTCAACAGTGAATTGTGGTTTCTGAAAAGAAATCATTATTTGAAAGGACTTGAAGATCTTTATTACTAAACCTAACAATATAGTTATAGCGAATTTAAGGTTTGAGTTTATCACACAAAATGTAGAGTGTCAGGACTAAGTTTCGTCCACACACTAAACCTTCAGTTATCTTCACTGACCTATTTCCTTCTGGTAATGTAGGCATGTATAAATGCTCGATAGTTAACCACAAGTGTACGTGGATTATTTTAAGCGATACATTTTGTAAATGTATCCCAATCCTGATACAACCTTAGGAGGTCATTACCTCCATCTTACACACTTTTTCTTAGATGGGGTGACATAATTTCTCAAATCGTTTACCATGTGGAATATTCTAGTGCGGTAGATCTACACGTTTGTTAGTGTTTTTGTATCAGGAAGATATTGTGCTCAAATTCCTTTTAAAGCGATTGCTGATATGTCGAACGAGATCGATAGACTAACAGCTTACGTAGTGGGCTCATACAGCCTTGTAAAGAGTAGGTATAGTTGCAGCAGTCTTCCACCTTGTCGTTCCCTTATTAAGCACCAAAAGAACTGTGTACTGTAGAAGCTGCATTGGGAGAACAAAATTTCTGTGGTCAGTTAGTAAATTGCAACAAACGCCTATCAAATTTAAGGGGACAAAATTGTCCGAGATCATTTGTGATTATCATCGGAAAAACACGAGCGCTTGTTTGCTTATATATTGAAGCATAAACTGGTTATTATTTATACCGTACATGGAACCAAAAGCAAAATGAGCATATGTGACTACCGATTCTATAGATCAATTTGCTCCAGGTCAAGATTAAAGTCAACATTTCTCGTCACATGTTCTATGTTCACGGTCCAAAGTGCCATCTTTCCCGAAAACGAAGTAATTTAAGCAATGCATGTTGCAAGCCGGATTTGCTTGCAAGACTTCGGGGATAAAGTTAATAATTTCAACCCTAAAGAGAAAGTGAGGAGAATAAATTCCACATTTATTCTTTGATATGTGTATATTATACTGATTTTTGTGAACGGCGTATCTTAAAATTACTGTTTACCGTGTATTTCTTTGTCATCTGGCTTTACAACTACTTACCAACATAACTGTAAGTTTGTAATTGAAGCATTTTCACATTGCCTTCCGTACTTATAACATGGCGCGATGGTTGCGGGGCCAATATGTAGTCTCTCGAAGCATAGACTTCGGGTCCGTTGCTTGATATAACACTAAACACTTGTTTGTCTATTATCAACATGAGAACTGTTTTGTATTATGTTTATTACACGGAAGACCAACTCTTCTTTTCTGTTTGTAAAACACTACGAAAACTGAACTTTCACGTGATAAATCCCCACCGAAACTATAATGATGCAAATGAACCTTGTAAAATCTGTGGTTTTTATATTTGAATATACAATATCACTTATAACACATCAGTCTTTAAACTATGTCAATGCTTAAACGAAGCGTTTGTTATTATAAATGCTGACGAATAGGAGTACTTTGATCAGATTAATAAACTGTGATTACTAGTTCACATTGCTCTTAGTTCCGCGTAAAGCGTTTACGCAAACTATGTGTGCTCGAAAACGGAGACATTTGTGTGAAAAATTGTGGCTTAAAGGTTTTTAGAATTGTATGAAGTTTGGTAAACAAACTACAAATGAAAATGAAAAACATTTATATAGTGTGAATATCATGGATACCTGTAAACGAAATCCCCATGACTTCCCTAAAACGTCGGGGAAATTCTGGCGTTTTCTCCAATATACTCAGAAATTTTTGGGTTTAAACAAAGGTTGTAAGTAAAATTCTTAAAAGTATGGATAAAATATTCTTCTATGACCGAGGACAGGCGATCTACGTAAATGGGATACTATCTGAGTAGATTCAAGTCAATAACGTTATACCCCAAAGCACCATCTTAGATCCGCTATTTTTTCTCTATGCCAATAAATTACTGAGATTGCTTAAGTTGTCGTCACTACTGTTTGCGGTTGATGTCAAAATCTAAAGAGCATTAAGCAGTGAGACTGATTATTATGATGTTCAATATGACTTCAACGAATCAAACAGATGGTCCAAGAGTTGGTGCTTAGATACCAATCCTAGAGAGTATGCTAATGCACACCGGGTACAACAGTATTTACCAGTACACTATCAACAGCACTTCGCTGTCACACGTATAGGAACACCGACATACTGTCCTTATAAGTGAAGTCTGTAAACGTTTGTTTGAACCAATCAAAATACGATATATCGGTGGAACTTGTACTTTTTCATCTGTTGGAATCGCGATTGCAACTGTTGTAGTGTTTAGCCATGTGGTTTAGGTTGCCAGATTTTCTAAATCCCTGACTTGTGTTGCTCTCAGTTGTTTTCAACTTCTTAAATTATTAAATGTCAGCGCATAATGATTACTTGCTTTTGTTTACTTATCGGTTACTTACTTTTTCTCGTTAACTGCACAACACCATGCAGCACTCAATATATTTCCAATGTAGAAGCAAACTTATCAGGTACCTAAAGTTACGACAAAATGTAACAGGGATCTACGGCCGCGCATGCATAGGCTATTAAAGAAACTCAAATTTTACTTCATTATGGTTGAACGTCGCTTAAACTAATTTTAGATCTAAAATATTTTAATCAATAACAACCACTAAATACACAACGGTTTACTACTAAGTGGATAGCAGAAGACTGCCTCAACTTGAGAGGTACCATTGATCAAAGTTGCATATCGTCCTCTTGCCTAGTGACTACAGTTCTATAGCGTAAATGAAAATCAGTGAATCTCGACTTCCTTAGAGATCGTTAATGAATATAAGGAAGGTGGACGGCCTGCGAGTGGTCTTGACACCATGTGCCATATGGAACATCCTGGATGAGCTGGGATAGCAATCCAAATCAGTGTGCTAGTAAAACGATTTATATAAGACGTGCAGCAGTTGGCTATCGAGATGGGCAAGATTAGTGATTACTGTCTCTGATTTCTGTGAAAATATGGTAGCTCGATAACTTGGCATTTGGGATCAGACGTGATCATTTCTTGGTTTCTGAATCCCAAAAGCGTGGCCATGACTTTATGTATTGGTTTGAAATATGACTTTCTAGACGATCAGGCGTAAAACAAGCTTTTGGTGAAAAGACGGTAAATAAATTGTTTATCAAAGTCATCGGCCTTAACATATGTGCAACAATTTTCATATCATCTTGGGAAAATTAATTTCGTTACATGAACTATTGTGTATGTGGTGAAAATTGTTTTGACTCAAAGAATTCCAAGAATGCGGGGGGATTCTCTGCTTCCTGCTGTTGTTAAAGACACGTTAGTTTCCCAGTTACAGGAGAATATTAATATAACCGCCTCGGTAGTCTTAAATACGTACTAAATGTATTGTGCGAATTCGGACACGTGATTTTTTCTCATATTCTTTTCAGGAGAAAATATTTTCGTTGATCGTCATTTTGTTAGCCTTATTTCCCTGTTACTGTAACAAACCAAAACGTTCATTCACTGTCGACTACTATAATCATGTGTTTATGAAAGATGATGCACCTTTTCAATATGTTTCCGGAAGTATACATTATTTTCGCATTCCGGAACAGTACTGGTACGATCGACTTTTCAAAATGAAGGCTGCTGGGTTAGATGCTATTCAAATGTGAGTATTAAATGTCTAATACTAGTGTTTGGAATATTCATGTTTGTCTTTTTTTAAATTTACTACTTTTAGATTATTTGCACGCCTAGAGAAGTAGCACCGACAGTTTTATGGGTTTTTTGCCAGTGGTGTAGTGATTATTTATTAGGTATAAGAGTGGTTTTATGCATTAAATGAGTGGCATTAATAATATTCGGAGTTTTTATCACGTTTAGTTACTGTTGTATTTGCTAAACCTAGCGCTGTGATTTTCTCTAAAAAACAAAAGGTATCAACCAGATAATGTGATATCGTGAATTTCGCTTTGTTTGTAGTAAAGGGAATGGCTGGTATGAGTATTTGTACTGATCCTAAAATGAAACAAATGTTGTTTTGCGATTATTATGTTGTTGTTGCCTTTTATCTAAAATAGTTTGCGGATAATATTAGTAACACATGTATTCAGTAGTTGACCTTTATTTTACTCAGTTACATACCATGGAATTTCCACCAACCCGAGAAGGATGTATATGATTTTGATGGTGATCGGAACTTGGGAAGGTTTTTGGAACTGGCTTCATCTTTAGATCTGTTGGTAATTGCACGAGTCGGACCATACATATGTGCCGAATGGGATTTTGTGAGTTTGAAATACCAATGCTTTACGTATTTAATGTTTTATTCACAACGAATTCTACTTCTAAACAGTGAATCTGTGCTTCGTTTCAGGGTGGCTTGCCAGCTTGGCTTTTGCGGATTAATCCGTTGATGAAGTTACGCTCCAGTGATCCAGGTAATTTGTGATTGCAAAATCATGTGTATTTTAAAGATGATATGAACCCAGAGACTACCAGATTCAAAGTGGAATTTATCTTGTTGAAACAGCGTAGGCAGACGTTTCTGGCTTGTACTATTATCCCTCTGGATCTACATTTGTATCGTTTTCCATGTCTAATAGTAGTTTTATGGGTAGTAACTTATTGAGCAAAGTACTTGAAATTTAAAAATGAATGAATTTGTAGTATATTTTTGAACGATATATATATGGTTGAGGTCTAGACAGGTACAAACTGAAGTGTTTTATATTGTTCAGTCAGTCAGAATTTATATTGTTAGTTACCACCTACATTTATCATCCCTCTTTCAGCTGTTTTTAGTTATAACATGTTTGGTAAGTAATTATTCATACTAATTACACCTGGGTTATTAAGCAATACACTATATAACGATATAGGGGTAAGATAATCAAAACTATCAAATGAATTGTTGAAACTAACTAGCAGGGATAGTGGTTTTCTGAGAAATCTTAACTGTAAAAAAATTTATAGTGCCAAACGAAGCCAATATCTTATAGAAACAGCAATATAATTTTAGGCTGGCTTTTCGCTACACCAAACTATTCTGATCAGTGTCACCAAACTTACATGTTAACTTTCTGTTTTACTTTAAATGGCGATTCATTGTCTGGGGATTCCTAAAGTAAATGGTATATCACAGGAACTAATGAAATAATACATGGTTTCTAAGTGTACCACATTTCAAAGTTACGAATAGCCGAAGTTCATAAAACTAATCATAGTAACAATTCCAATAAATAAAAATATAGAAATAATGTTAATGGTGGGTACAACTTAGCTGTTGTGACGTTTCACATGACGCTAAGTGAAGGTTGCAACTATTGCTTTCAGTGGCTTATGATCTGTCTACTTCGGTTTATTTAAGTTCATACCGTATCGAATAAAATTTGTTACTTGAATAGCACTAAGTTGACAATCGGAAATTTCCACTTAGTACTAACTTGATTTAGGAATGCGCGTATTTCTCATGAAGACATCATGTGTATATATTTGCAACGGCATTGGCTAGTGTGTTGCGAAGTATCAAACCAAACTGTGAAGTGATTGTAAATGCGGAGGGAATTTTTGTTTAGTTTGTTTGTATTCACTTTTACTACACTCACCATAGCAATTACAGTTGATACAAATCATTTTTAATTGATATTCTTCAACAGAATATATGAAGTTTGTGACGATGTGGTTCAGTGTTTTGTTACCGAGTATGAAACGTTTTCTCTATGAGAATGGTGGGCCGGTAATTATGGTGCAGGTAAACTACTACTTTATTTAATCTCATCATTGGTTTCGGGATTTAACTAATGAATTCTCAGTTGAAGGAGTCAGGGTCAGGTGGCAGTCATTATGGGGTTTCAGTAAAACCAACGGGTGATTATGTCTGTCATGTAAACCACAGATATGCTTTACTGATGGATGCTTCCTTTTACCACAACTTTTATGGAATTCTTGACGGTTGGTAAAAAAGGAAAATATTTTCTTTTATGAAATTTGATGTTGAATTTTTTGATATGTGCACGTCCCTAGTTCTCATGCTGAGAATCTTCAGACATTTAACCAACCATGTCACTATACAGACACCCAGTCGGTGCTTAATTACCCATGTTTCAAAGTCGATCTTTATTTTTATAAGAAACATCAAATAAAAGCAGAGCAACCACCTAGATTGAGTATTTAAACTAGCCTGATATGATAATTTTAGTTTTGTTATGCATTATTAATCGACTGATATTTAATCTGACTAGGGACTGTCGAGGTTACAATTCTGTTGATGTTAGGTTGTCAGTTGATAAACTTTTACTTATTGTTGATCACTCGTCTCTCTGAAACTCAAAGAATTTGATTTGTTAAATGTCCACTGAGAAGTACACTTTTTGAAGTCCGTCAGATCAAACAGAAAGTAGGCATTTTGTTACGAGTTAAATACCAAGCAACCAAACATTGGAAGTTTTGTATAATTATTCATATTTGACTATTTTACTGAGTCTAGAACCAGTAGTTCAAACTGTTACGTATGATATATTCTCCGATAACTCAACATGAAGCAAAACGGTTTCGAAAATCCACCGATCATTAATTTGCATTATCAACCACTGTTTAATATCTTAAAATGAATATTTTTATTGACGTTTTTGCATTTATCCGTCTTCAGTTAGAAAATGAATATGGCTCCTATCCAACATGCGATGAAACATACTTAAAAGAGCTTTATAATTTAGCACGCTCACATTTGGGGGAAAATATCATAATTTTTACATCGGATGGTCCATCCAACGGCTTGTTAAAATGTGGTTCATCTGACGAACGCTATCTAGCAACAGTTAACTTTGGTCCTAGTATGTTTCCAATTTCTTGATTTAAATTCTATAATTTTTAAGTTTTTGTATTTATTTTGATACTGGATTATTCTATTTGATTATTTCTTCAACACATGTTACTTTATAATCCGAGATGAAACACGGCATTGGCTAGGATTATTTGGATTTGTCACATACTGAAATATTTTATGTTGTTATTAATCGCGTGTGTTGAATAAATTTATTTTCACTTTGTCCCGATTTCTTTACTAATTGGTCTTACGCTTTTTTCTCGCTTTGTAAAGCAACTGCTCCAGTACTTAAGGTTTTCAAAGTATTGGAGGATTTCCGACAGAATCAACCCTGGGTAAGTGCTGATGAATATTTATAATAGATGGATTAATAACATTTTTAAAAGCCAAAACACTTATTACCAAATAAGTTAGCAGTGTGCTGATCTTTACTGTGCTTTTTAGGTTAATCAAAGACAACATACTATTTTTGTGTGTTGTTCAAACTAAACATGAATTGTCATTGTTATGATTAAAAACATCACTTTCAAGGTTTCATGTTGATGAATACCGAATTTATTCTTTTTCATGACTATTTCTTTTTACTTTGCAAGTTATCAAAGATAATGATGTCTCTTGAGAAATAATTGTTTACCACCTTAACCCACTGGTCTAAGAGCTCTAAAGAGTTCATTCACTTCATGTAGTTTGTGCCGAAATTTTAAAATGATCACTTAAATGTTACCCATACTTCTGAGCGCAAATTTATAATGATTGGTCTACACCTAATACTGACTAGATACTTACCCGTAAGTGACTTTTCTGTCTACTGAATTAGGCTTAACAATAGGCTGTTCCTAATCTAAGTAACCCACGGCTACGGTGTTCAAATTAGATCATTAGTGATTCAGGCTGGGTTCTCTGTATTGTCTGGTTTTATTGACGTTGCTATTAAAACAAAAAAAGCACAACTTATTTCTACGATTTTTTGTATACTTTCTCCAACTATCAAACAAATACAATATATCGCTATCTTGATTCACTGGTTGTATAGCATACTTGACCAAAAGAACTCGGTCAAAAATACTATTTGAGCTTACCAACAAATTGCCGCATGTACTAAACAGTGAGCTTCATTTTCAACATGTCTTCGAAAGGTAGAAATTCATAGCTGTTTAACGTGGTCATTAATTATTAAATACAGTATAATTTATTTATAGTGATAAACACTAGTTAAAATTATTGATACTGACATAATGTTATGCTGTTCACTTATCTACGTGTGATTTTGAAAAAAATATGGAACAAGTTTCACAACTTTTACGTCAATTCATAATTGGGGTAACCTATATATGAATTCATCCAAATTAATGTTCATATTTTGGTGTTAATTTATTATGAAAAATATTTACTGGTGAATAGTGAAAAAATTAAAGCTTTGGAAATGGTTTATTTATTATTTAGTTATTATCCATGAAACACGAAATATATATTAATTATTTTGATTGGTTGCACAAGGGTTGTCATGATTGTGAGCCAAAATAATTGGGAACGATCCTATCGATTTAAATGACAGATGTAGTGGTAACCGGATATGATTGACGAACTTATATTTCATTGTTCATAAATTTAGATGATCAAATATGATATGTAAAATTGATGGGGTCTAGGTAGCAAGAAGCCTTCAAAGAAAATATTTACTGTTACACTGTCAGGATTCTGTCACAGAAATGTCAAGTAGGAAGAGGAGTTTCTAGAAATCGTAACAATAGTACTAAAGAGTTCTCTCTACATAAACTGCCCTCTCAAAGTGAAGTTAAAGATCTCCAGACCACTTTAATGATAATTCTGTTTAGTCTGATGTAAGTTGATGGTAGTTTCCCACAACCTTTTGGTAACCGTAACTGAATGAGCTCAAAAATCAGGATTTTTATGCTGACTGTACTAGATTGTGATACAAACGTAACAGAACCTATTTGTATGATAGCTTATGATGACTTACTTCAGTTAGTCAATTAGCTAGGACATTTTCAGCAGTAATTACTCCTAGTTCATTTTAATAATTGAGTCTGGAATATATAAGTCATGTAATTTTTAACTCTAAGGAACTGAAGCGGCTTTGTAATAACCAATTCACTATTGTGATGATGAAATGTTAACATATGAACGAATTTTTGTTTCATGCTATAAGGTAAATAGTGAATATTATGTTGGTTGGTTAGACGTGTGGGGCGGGGATCATCATATTACCAATCCTGAATGGGCAGCGAATGGACTAAATCATCTAATCAGCTACTCAATGAGAGTCAATGTAAATATGTAAGTTAGTTTTCGCTTTATTTATTTTTAAGTTTATCAATTTGTTTTCTTCTAGGAAAACGAATGTCATCTTGTGTAACAGCTTTTCATCAGCTTCCAGATTTCATATATGTCTAGTCTAATTACTTAGTCTAATTACTGACTACTATGATCAATTTGTAATCTCATAACTGAAGCTATAACATTTCATCGTACTTCTGCAATACATATGTAACATTGTTTCAATTTATTCTACACTTCAGGAAACTTGATTAGTGTTTTGTTTGTCATTAAAAACGTTTTACTACGTAAAAGTGTAATATAATTTTATTTTTTTAAATCAGCTTACATTCCATCGACTTCTGTCTAATCACTGCAGGTTGTATTTAGGAACTTAGTACATGCGAAACCCGCTTTAGATGTATTCGCAACGACTGAAATTATTTATAATTCCCAGTCTGTTTCTCTTATTCAATGATATACTTATCGGAACACTTAAGTTGATGTAAACTGACTGAATTCAGGCTTCAAATCATTAGTGTTGACTTGGCTAAATAAGTGATCATCGTTTTGGTTTTCAGTAACAAGTGTTGTATAGTGGATCAATTTATTTCTCATTGATGAGGAAAACAATATTTCATTTTGTTAGTTGATTTTGGTCTTAATATTTGTGAATGGACTTAAGTAAATTCTCATAAATGTAAAGTATATATAATAGCATAATGTAAATGATAAAATGTTATAGAGTACAGCCATGAATGACTTATTTCAGTAAAAGGAACTCATCTCGTTTTTGCAGAAATTATAAAAGAAGATTGCAACAGAATCGCCCTTGACTTCTACTCTGAGTCATATCGGATAACATCTGAAGCCACTGAATTGCACCTTTTCTAGGACACCAGCCAGGAAGTCATGAGAGACCAAGATGTACCAGTTTTATACAGCTTTGCTTCTTACCACAACGGTAATCGAACATCGGGTCGTTGAATGCCCTCACCCTAAAAGTCGAGTTCTAAAAGCGTGTAAACCGGACATTTCAAAGCTCTAAAGGTGGCTAATATTAGTACGAATCGCTCTGATTTTCACTACGTCTGGATTAATCGCATCAGTCAGGCCACCATCACCGACACACACAACTGCTCAGTTACAAGGACGTTCTGATTACCTCTAAAGCGTCACTGTCTAGTGTGAATGAAGGTAAATATTTTAGCCACTGAAGCGCATGATAAGCCAACAGCAAACCACGAAATGATCAGAGTCCAGATTAGCATCCCGAAGGAGCAGGAGTTTTGTACATATCTACGGCAGCGGCAGTTAAACATTGTGTGACCAATCTAAGTACAAGCTTTAGTTTCAGAGTGAGGATGTCGCATCGTACATCGGATATTTAAGTAGAAGTTAAGTTTTCATTTTCACAGGTGAAATCACGAGTCAATATACGCTAGACCGCCACTGAAAACCTGGAAGTACTGGACGGCCGTTTCGTCCTGGTATGGGACTCAGAAGTACGCATCATCATTTACTCGTTATTCATAATGCTTACCGAAGTATGGTGAAGTGCTAGATGCCAAAATATTTCTCATATTTTGAATACATAGTATCATCTGTGCTGAATAGAAGGGCAAATGAGAAGGCTCTTAGGAATAGTAAAAATAGCTAAGTAGCTCCTTCTTTCTTGTTTATCTGATTTTAATGTTCAGGATACAATTCATGTATTTGGAATGATCATACATTTTGATTCTTTTGTCGTTTGTGAGAATACTGTGTAGAAATTTAAATGTTAAGGTTTCATAGAGCTAAATGAGCTCTGAGTAGCTGTATTTCGAGACAGTATTCTTTTTTTTTAAAAGGTATATGTTTCACGGTGGAACTAATTTTGGATTTTGGAACGGTGGTGCAAGACCTGAATCATCAATTACAAGTTATGATTATGATGCTCCAATCAATGAAGCTGGTGATATAACAAGAAAATATATGATAATAAGAGATCTGCTTTTCCGGGTAAGTATCTTTGTTTCTTTCATGAAAATTTGATGTAGACATCCATCCTTTATCCCAAATTTATTTTAGTGTGGATAAATAGTTTTTTTATAGTGTACAGCGTCTAAAATCATCAACTACTGTTATCTGGCATGTTATTATCTAATCTATCGAGAACGTTCTACTGGATCCGGGAAGCACACGAAAGTGGTTATATTAACAGAGAATAATGTTGAATTATTATGATAAGATACAATGACCAGTCAATGGTGCATGTTGTTCGGTGCGACAAAGGCAAACCCTAATTTATGTTTTACTGCAAGATAATTGTATGCAAAAGTGTTTAAATTCGTAAATAAGTTCAGCAACTAAACAAACAGGAACCATTCAATTGTTCATCTCTGTTTATTAGTCGTCTTCAACTAATTTGATACAAAGACGGCACTTTAATTGATTGACAGGTACATTAAAAAGATAGCTGTTATTGAGACCGACTCTGGTGAAGATGGAACTATTATTCACTTTAAACTTGGGGGATCAACCGATGGATAGAACACTAGGGAACAGTTCAACTGGCCTCCAACTATCCTTCAGTTATTTATCTCCAAACAATCTTAATGGAAAATCGACCCAAGTCCACAATTCTCAATAAGGTTGAAAAGGCTGTAACTAAACTAAAGCAAGGTAGAGCAATAGACCCTCGTGGCTTAACACCGAATATCTGTACAGATGATTGTCCAGTTTTAGCTTCTAAACTGACTGAAATCCCAGTTAGAGTCTGGGAACTAGATGTAACCTCATCCGTCTAGTTTCGATCTCAGATCGTTCCAGTCTGTGAGAAAGGCAGCAAATCCTCTCGTGGTGCACATAGGAATCAGTCTAACTAGCATAGTGCCTAGTGTTAGCTTCAATAATTATCCGACAATTAACTAGGGCTCGTGAAGAACAAACCCGAAAATACCTGACTGGTTTCAGGCTTGGGCGTGAATGAAATGTTCAATTATTCGCTCTTTAGGTTCTGAAACATAGATGTACCTATCAACTCCCAAACATAGCTGTATTTCTTAATTTTAATGCAGCATCCGACTGTATTGGCCGAAAGGTTTTGTTACATTTTTTTGTCTTTGAAAGGCGTACTAAAGAAGTAGTTAAATCCTGTGGGAGTTCTCTTTTGAAACACCACTGGTCGAGTTAGGACTTGTGGCGAACTGTCGTCGAAAGTGATAACTTCAAGTGGTATTCGTCATGGTTGTTCGCTTTCCCCATTTTCATTCAGTTTGATCATGGATGTCCTCCTAGAGAAAACACTTCATTTGACTTTTCGGAAGTATATCTCCTATCAGGAAGTTCACTTATCTATTTATAGTATATAAATGATAGTCCTATTTGGTGAAGACGCCACCACATTGCAGAGCCTTCTGATCGCCTTGAGTAATAATGGTAGTATGTTTGGGATGAGTTGCTGTTTAATTGCTTCTGTCAGTGGTGGAATTAACCTCCTTATTCGGCTCAAAATTTCTGTCGAGTACAATGTGTTGGAGTTTTATCTGGTCAGAGTTAATACGAAGTAAAGCCATAATTTATGGTTTTGTATTTATAGACAGGTATGTTATCAGTGAAGAACATCAATTGTTTTGATTATAACACAGACTAATGTAACTTACGTAAGTATTCCTGATAAGATATGTTGAATTTCCTGTCATTTGTTTTGTTTTAAGAGAAAAGGCACTAAACCACCTGAGTTGCCAAGAAATACTACAAAGATTTCGTATGGTCGTGTTAATATGAAATTTGTAAGTCAATGTTTTCGTTTAGTAAACGTGTCTTCATCTCAGAATTGATTTTGATTTCAAAATAAATGACTGTGTTTTTTGCCAGCCATGAAATTGCAGAATTGTTTAATCGATATTCAAGCTTCAGTTTCTAACACCCTTCAGTGAACAGTTGTTGCAGTTTTATGATCGAAGTCCTGTATTCCTCTCAGATTTTTATCTCTTGTGATGGGACAGAACTACAGAAATATAGTTTTATGGCTTTCGGTTGTTAATGGAACAAAACACGTTCACTGTTTTGTGATGAATAAGTGAGCGACGCTATATTATAACTCTATTCATACTTCCCACTTTTATAGCACAAAAGGTAGGGAAATTATCAGTTATATTTCCACTAGTTATGTTAAATTAGTTTTACTTTTCGTCGATTATTCTTTCTTTACTTTCCTCATACTTTTTGTTGTTGTGCTATTTTGAAGCATTCTGGTATTAAATGTAGACATTATTGTATCAGTTAAGCAATCAGTCAGATTAATATTGAATGTGTTTTATCATAAATGCGTACTTGGATGTAGAAATATTGGGACTAGGGGTGCTGGAAATAGTTGTATTCATTAGTAATATTTTAGTAAATAAACAGTGACATGTTGTCTGTTAACATCAACTCCATTGTTGAAGGAAATCGTGTTTTCTAATTTCCAGATATCAGTGAATCAGCACCTTAATTAAAAGTTAGATAGATGAACCACTTTTATCATTGGAATACCAAAAACAGTTGGAAAAGAAACTGTAGTTACTCATCATATGTTTCAAATCAATCTTCTTAGAAATTAACAGTGATGATTCATTGTGGAAAAAATGAACGATATAATTCGTAAATATTTTTCTTAGACATTACTTGTTGAAGACAGTTCACTAAGAAGACTATGAAAGTGGTTTTTACCCAATTTTACGAAATTGTCTTTAACAAAAACTAGTCAGTGTTGTGAATAAAGACTTAGTAGGGAAAACCAATTTATTGTTTAACGCAAAGTTGTGCAGTGGCGTCGTAAAATATGAAAATCATATATTATATACGTCTTTTGCATATCTTTCTTGAGTTATCCTCTACACACTCCATCGGCTGGATACGTTTTAACCAATCTGACCAATTTACTTTTGAAAGGCATCTTATATGAAAATAAGTTATACAATTAAATCAAAGGTCAAATGAATTGAAAAATGATAATTGGGATAAAAAATAAATTAGAAATTACCAGGACATGTTCAAGGTAAAGATAATTTTATAGCTGAATTCATGAGTCAGTTAAAGCTAGACCACCATGGTAAACCTGGAAGCACTGGACGGCCGTTTCGTCCTGGTATGGGGCTTCTCAGCAGCAGGCACCCATAACCTCGCACCCTGGACTCGAACCCAGAACCTATCGGTCTCGTGCGCAAACAGTTAACCTCTAGCCCACTGAGCCGGCATCTAATGGTATTGTCTAACTTCAACCGATCCACGAAATTGCGCCACCGTCCACTATTGTCTTCAGTAAGTTACTATTTCACAGCAGACCTGATTGAACTCCTGATCACAGCTTCTCACTAGAACTCCAGGAAATGCCTCTTGAATCGTGGATGCACACTGCTGAGGAGTGCCATACTAGGCTGAAACAGCCGTCCAGTGCTTCCAGGTTTTCCATGGTGGTCTAGCATCAACTAACTCATTAATTCAACTACAAAATTACTAAAAATCTCCACAAAAGCCCCTTCTGAGAATAAAGATAATTATGTAATCAGACTTTCCCCAACTTTCTTATCTAGATACATCACAAAATGTAAACAACTTTTTATGTGTTTATTTGGACATAACTATTGTTACATAAGGAACACCGAAGTAAATATGCGACACAAATATGTGAATGATGTTGTGAAGGGATAAAGGAAGGAGGGTAAATTTAATCAACAGCAATAAATACATGAGAATAAATGGAAAAGGGTAGTATATAACGGAAGAAACAGTCTAGTTAAAAAAGTACTATAAGGAATCATTTTCGACAGATGTCTCTTTAAATTACACTCTGGAAGTTCATAATGTGAGTGTGAAGTGTTTGTAGGCATACTCATTCAGGTAGATGATTAGTTGTTTGATTAAAAATTCAGCTAACATATATTCTTTTTGACAAAACTAAAATGTTAATAAGTTTATTTTCATTGGTCGTTTGAATTTTTCCATTGATGCTTGACTGGGATTGATCAGTCTCTTTTGGCATATGTTCTTCCAGTGCGGATCCCTTTGGTATTACCACTAATTCGTTATTATAGGTGGTGGCGGGCAGTGGGTTCCAGTATGCGCACTTCGTCATGTTTGGGACTCAGTTGGACGTATCTGGACGTCACAGTTATGACTTGCCCTGTTAATTATCATGTGATTAGATCACCAATTTTAGGATGCAGGTACATCCACCTTAGGAGTCCCATGTAGGACGAAATGCGCGTTCTAAACCCCATTGTTAGCCATCATACCTCTCTATTTGGGTTATTAACTATTGGGTCCATTAGTAAGTGAAGTGGTGATCGGTGTACAACCGTAGAAAGTCTTAACTATGAAAGTGAACGGTCTTACTTTGGTCTATGGATTGGTTTTTAGAGCAATTAATAATTATCGTTTCGAAATCGGGTGTATATTATTAATTCGTGACGAAACCTTCCTAATAATAGTGCTTTTATTGTTTTTAAATATTTAGGGATTTCATCTTTTAGAAAATAAAGCTCCAATTACCTATTCTGCGTTTCCTCTTATTATGGAAAGTTTGCGACAGGTAAGCTGCTTAACGTATAGTTTTTTCGACTTTTGCTGAACTCTTTAGTACCTGAATCCACTATCTGTTGCGATCGTCTTGAGATCAATTTTTGACAATATTTCTGGATGGCAAATACTTTTAAAGAAGACTGACACATTGCTAAACGATATTATATAGTTCGGCTAATATTATAAACTTTGATGCGAGATAGTGATAATAATAATATAGCTATATGTCTATATGACTTCCATTTGTAAAACATTCCTGAAATGTTTGTGTAAATCTCAAATATCTACGTTAGTGTATTGTGATTGACTGCGTTACTTTCATGTATACAGCTGTGAGAATGTTCATGTATTTAAAAATCATGTAGGATCAAATTTAAATTCATAAAGGATGTGCGTGGTAGTTATGAAATAGAATGATGACTAGAAGAAATTTCAATGGGACGTGTGCAGTAAATAGTACATTACGACTATCTATTATCGGTTTTTCTTTGTACATCGTATAGGTAATGTTAAACATGAGTGAAATACAGCATACTGTTATTACTCAAGTTTATGTACATGTTTAAAGCAATATACTTCCTTAACCTTCTAGTTGTTATAGGATTCTGCTGAAAAATCGGTACTTTCATATTATTATCATCATCTCAGTGATGTGTTATGTTTGACCAACAAATATCCTACCAAAATTTTATAGTATTTCATTATGCTGTTCTTGCATGAAATATTCATCTGTGTACATAAACTAATACATGACCCCAGTTCTTGAATATAATGAATATTAGACTGAGCCATGTGAATGCATATGGACTACCTGGTTGGGGTTTTTGTGATTTTCGTTAACAAATGGTTAGCGCCTTTGTGTGACGTGGTTCATAACTGTTCGCACTAACTTCATTCACTTGATGTCTTTCCTTAGATCCTAAGTTTCTAAATTACCTCTTCGAATCGTATCTTTGATGCCTAACCTTTTCCATTACCACTAATACTATTATTACCTCTTCTACTCTGGGATTCGCCTTATCAATTTGATCTCTCTGTTTTAATGGAGTATGGAAGAATTGAACCGATTTACACTCACCAAGTTTTACGTTGCGTGTGGCTGACTATTTATTTATTTAAACACATAAATATTGGTACAGGGGGGCACCAAATATATATGCGCCATACAAAACAATGATAATTTGAAGAGAAGGAGAAAAGAGAAAAAAAATTAATGAACGTGGGGAATTATTAAAAAAAGGGAGAGAGAGAACAATGGTGGGGGAAACGGAAAGGTACAATCAGAAGAAATCTTTCAGTTAAGGAAGATACAACCACTTTTTATGAAGAAAGTAAAAGAAGGTTACAGCGCGATCGCCACTGGCTTCTATTCTGAGCCATATCTGATAACGTCTCTAGCCACTGCGTTATACCGTCTCTCGGACCCCAACCAGGGGGTCGTGAAGGACCAACAGAAGCTAGCCCTTTGCAGCTTTCTTTCATACCACGACACCATGTCATATACTGACCACCTCTCCGCTTTTCCCAACCAGTCCCGGAGTCGGCAAATAATGCACGACGTGGAATTCTCTGGGACGACATTCGTAGAACATGTCCAAGCCACCGAAGTCGGTGTTTCAAGATGGTGACACCAATTTCATTATCGTCTCTGTGACCGAACACTCGATGCCGAACCTCTGCATTACTGACATGGTGTTGCCACTGGATGCCAGCAATCCTTCGGAAACAACGATGATCGAACACAGAGAGTCGTCTAAAATCCTCAGCTCGGAGAGGCCAGGTTTCACAAGCATAGAGCAAAACTGCTCTCACCGTCGCGTTGTAGATCCGACCTTTTACAGCCAGACTAACATCACGAAGGCGCCAAAGATGGCCCAGATTGGCATAAGCCGCTCTGGCTTTCACTATACGTGCATTGATCTCATCACTCACACCACCACCAGCACTTATGCAGCTACCTAGACACACGAACTTCTCGACTACTTCAATCTGCTCACCATCCAGAGTGAGTACAGGATTAGAATCCTGCCAGTCTTGTAGAAGTACTTTGCACTTCGAAGGTGCAAAGCACATACCATACCTACGGACACTGATTGCCAACTGATTAAGTGCGGATTGCATGGCTTGGGCATTCTCGCACAGTAAGACAATATCATCCGCACACTCAAGGTCGAGAAGTCTTTCTCCAGGCAATAGATCCACACCACCATTACTTACATCCGTCAGAGCTGTTTCCAGAATGTCATCGATGGCAAAGTTGAAGAGGAATGGTGAGATTGGGCAACCCTGCCTAACCCCACTGCTCGAATGGAATAGTGGAGAAAGGTGGTTGTATGCCCTCACTCTGCCTGAGGTGTTTGTGTATAGGGCTTTTAGGATGTTAATAAACTTCTCAGGTACATCCTCGACCAGAACGAAACTCAGCCTGATCCTCGCGAGTCAATCCTTCTCGGGTTCTGAACAACCTACGAAGTATGACGGAAGCCAATTGTTTGGACGCAATCGGAAGTAGACTTATCCCCCGATAGTTGTTACAGGAACGACGTGAACCCTTTTTAAAGATAGGGACAACTATCGACTCATTCCATGACGTTGGTACACTCTCTAGTTCCCAGATCTTTGTAAACAACGTCGTCAGTCCCTTAGTCAGAAAGTCACCACCATCTTTAAAAAGAGCCGGAGGTAAGTCGTCTGGGCCGGGTGATTTGTAACGTTTCAAGAGTTGGAGTTCCTTTCGGACTTCCGACTCATTTGGTGGATCACTCGTCACCGGTCATGGAGGGCAGGACAGTCTGACCGATGTTGCCGGAGCAGCAGGCCAGTTGAACTGCCCTTCAAAGAATTCTGCCCATCGTCCAAGACGTCGATGGATGTTAGTGATTGGCGTTCCGTCATCCTCGCAGATTGTTTCGCTCACACCAGACTTCTTGCTGCCAGTGGCTCGGATGAGTTGGAAGAGATTCCGGTAATTACCAGATGCAGCTGCTGCTTCCAACTCACTGGCACGCTCCGACCACCAGGCTTCTCGGTCTTTACGCAAGCTTTGCCCGATTTCATTACTTAACATCCTTCGTCTGTGGTCAAACTCACGGTCACCCGGAGTAGACCGACGGGCTTCAATCAGTTGTAAGGAACCAGAAGAAACCCAGTACTTGTAAGCGGGACGTTTCGCAAACCCACCACTGACTTGACCCTCCATTTTCATGGCGTCATGCAATTGCAACCAATGCTCATCTATACTTTTCGGTGGAATGGTAGCTAGCCTAGAAGCTAGCTCGGTTTGGTACTTACTAGCAACAGAAGTTGCAGCCAGCTTGCTAACATCAATCCTGTGGTGGCGGTCACTTCGTTGTCCACTGAAAAGTAAGGTAAGATTGGCGCAGACCAGAACATGATCAGATTCCAGATAGGTACTCCAAAAGGAGCGGCAGTCTTGTACACAACCACGCCAGCGGTAGCTGATCGCGATGTGATCAATCTGAGTCCAGGCTTGAGATGCAGAAGGGGGACGCCAGGTGGCACATCGGCGATGACTGTGCCGAAAGTTAGTGCTAGCCAGAAACAGGTTGTGGTCTGTGCATAGTTGCAGTAGACGTTCCCCGTTATCTGACCTGCGACCAACAAGTCCCCATCGGCCACCTAAACGACTCTCTTCTGTGCCTAGACGCCCGACCTGAGCATTCAAGTCTCCAGCTAGTACTACAATATCTGTCGAACGCACTTTCTGGAGAAGAACAGTTAGCTGATGGTAGAACTCGTCCTTGATTGCATCCGGGCTGCAATCTGTCGGGGCATAGGCGGAGATGACGAAAAGACATCGTTTCTCACGCCGATTTGTTCTCAATTTGATGGAACTTTCTAATCTAACAGCACATAACCGACTGTTAATAGGGATCCAGTCGACTAGTGCTGCCTCAGCTCTTGCGCTTAGTGCGACACCAACGCCAGCAAGACCAGACGAAGATGCCACAGGGTCCCCGGATAAACGCACATAAAACAAGCTTTTTGAAGCAACAGATGGAGAGCGAACTTGTAGTACTTCACCAGAGTCTTGAATACGGGTCTCGGATAGACAACACACATCAATATTAGGACTTTCCAAAGACATAGCCAGCCCTATCTGTTGTCCGACCTGCATAATTGTGCGAACGTTGAAGGCAGCCAGTTTGAATGGTGCGCGTGGTTTCAGAAAAACTGCTTCAGTACTCGTATTCGGTGGCAACATACAATTTTCAACCAGGCAGTGACTCTAGAACGTTTAGATAAAGCTGAATTTTCACCATAGGTGAGCTGCTGTCTAGGTCGAAACGGATACATAAAGTAGAAATAAGAGAGGGTGAATAAATGACGTAGTAAATAATAATAATAATAATAATAATAATAATAATACCAGTCATTTCAATGTTAGTCGGAGAGAAACGAATATTTTCTATAAGCAGATAGTTCATCATAGTTTTAGTGTGTGGGCTGAGATACTGCCCGGGTGCCCAAACCGAAGCAGGTGGTTTTCTTAGGGGGCCACACCCCGAGCCTTCGACCTAAAGGTCTAGTCCACAAGGCAGTGGAGCATCGTGAGGAGATGCAGTCCCATGGAAGCCGGTGACCAAAAGTTGGTTCATACGCCATTTGTTCCTTCAGGATACTGGAGCCCATGTGCACCATAGAATTGGGATCCGGTTATAGCTCCGGACATTCGCTTTTCGTCCTCTCATTTTTGTAAACAACACTCCCGCCACGAGAAGGCAGTGAGTAGGACTTCCCTGGCAGAGGCTGTATACGCGTGGCCGTGTGAGAGTATTTCGAGAGGGAGGGCGAACCCTCCCCGCTCTCGGCCATACCAGGGCATTTTGGGGCTAGCAGTAATTAGATCTGACGCTAAGTCAGACGGTGAGACGGTCTCTATACAGAATTCGATTATTATTCCATCAAATCTGGTTTTTCTTTTCAACAAATTTCTTTTGTGATTGTTGAAGATAAAATTCCTCGTTATTTTCTCGTTGTTCATCTTCATCGTTAACGAAGCGTTCTGTATGGACTTAATTTACAAAAATTAATATTTCGAGTGAGTTATGCTTCCGATGTCTCGTGTATGGTAATGTTCAAGTATGTAACATAAACTAGCAAATACCAGAACTGCATGTTTTTACCATTTTTCCAGTTGGTTGTAGGGAAGGATTCTAACTTGATTCACTTAAAATTTTTAGTGGCAATTAAAACTGGAGCAAGTATAAGACAAAATTCTAGCATGAAAAAGAATTTAATAAGACGATTTATACTTTGAAATGCAAATATTTGCTATCAAGTTTTCATTGCTAACAATAATTTTGTGTATTTGTTTTTATCACACACTGTTTATTGTAGCGTATTTTGTACGTTACTTGATTATTTTTTAAATTTTCTTTTCAGTATGACGGTTTTATGATTTATTCAGTCACTGTAACAGTCCCACGCAATGGATCTATTTTTCTGAGGTTCTTTGGTATCTCAGACATAGCGCATATTTATACTGGAGATAAATCTGGGCATTATGTAAGCATTTACCTTGATGACTGTGAAGAATCTCTTTATTCACAGTTATGTAAATAGTTATACATCGCCTTGATAACTGAACGTCAGCGATATTGAATACAATAAATATTCGCATAACTAATGAAAGAAAATGTCTCGCTTTATTCTTCCAGCCATAGAATCGGTTTCTAAATTATTGACCATTATGCAAAATTGTCACAAGATAAGCCTGTGAATTCCTTTTCGTCATTTTCAGATTATTCCCCATCTAACAGTATTCCCGACAGACATTTAATTCTTTTTAAGCGCGATGCTGGTTTATACTAAAGCATTATATCTCGAACAGTATTTTACAACAAATAACCGAAATGTTAGGTGAGTAATAACAATTCACGGGAAGTCTAAATACCATAGAGAGAGTAATAAGCAACTGGTGATATGCTAAAGTATGTCAGTGAATTATTCGCCCATCCACATGTTTTTTCTGGGTCAATGTGATTGATAAGCATGAGGTATGAAAACATCATTCGGGAGTACAACATCGGATGCGGTCTTTGTATCCGCTCATTTTTTCGTTAAGTGAGTATTACGTTAGGAGGGTGCAAAGTAACTTAGTGGGACTCCGCCTGAAAGTTTGATTTCGATGATAAATATTTACAAGTTCGTTTCTCCACCGCCAAAGTACTTATCAGTGTTAATTACAACTCAAAACTAAAACACATCTTGCGGCAGCATCAGTGTAAGTCAGCACTGTTTAGACTGTATGAAACGATGGTGCTGATACTTTTATTCCATCATAATCGCTGTTCGATCCTTTGAAATTACCATGTGAACAAATAGGCGATTCAATTGTTGTCCTGTTTCAATCGCAACACATATGTAACATTTCAATCACGATGTTTTAAGGTATATAGTACTCTTTTGAGTAGAGTTTTTTCTGATGGTAAATGTGTCTTATCTTTTCACAGAGGATTTGTACTACTGGAGATCCCTGTACTAAAATGAGACAGTTGCCCGGTGCTTCCTGGTTCAGCCGTTTTTCAACCAAAGTCAGTTTGTGAGGTTGAACTTCGAATTCAATTCCCATTTGATTTGGGTGTTCATATATGTATTCTAAGTTATGTAGAACAGGATGTTAAAGCAATATTGCATGGAGTTGCCGTTAAACGTAAGGACTTCATTGATCTTAAACACGATACTGAAGTGACAGAATGTTCATGCCTCATGTTTTATGAATTATGTAGTATAGGGACGGCTCTCGGTGAACTCAAGGAAGCTTTAAGAATCCCTGAAAGAGCCGAGGACATTCTATCCAATCATCTTTTGGAAGAACATTTTAGAATTTCGACGTGTAGCTTCCCGATTGAACAAATGCTAAGAACCACTGCATGCGGATTGGATGACTTTAATGATTTCGGTCTTACTAAAAACTGGAAATACCTGAGTGTTTTGTACCATATTTGGCGCTGTTTGGATTAAGATTCCTTCCCACTCGTCTTCTGCCTTCTAACTTGCGACTTGGAAGGTTCTAGCATTCGAGTGCTCAAGTTGTACGTGGTATAGCAAGATTCTGATTTTTAGATATAACTTGCAACTTCGGGAGTGATGTTGCTGCGCTTTGGTCGCGAAGAGGGATATGCCCTACACACTCAGAGAGTTGCTCTGATGCTGTCCAAAAAAGCCCGAAAAGCACTTGTAGGATAGGAATCCCGTGGATCCTTCAAAACAAATGAGGAGGGGATCAGAATAAATGTTATTCAGTGCAATGCGTCCATCCACGATAGCGAAGAAGGAGATAAAGATCAGTCTTATGAGAGGCTGCAATTGGTCGTAGAGAAGTTCACAGTAAAAAGACCTAAACGCCTTCGACAAAATGATTATAGTTGGTAATATGTTCCCCTGCGAAAACGCATAAAAGCTACGTAGTTTTCACTAGATTACACTGACATAACTTCAGATCACTACCTGGTAGTTGACAATGTAAAACAAACTAAGGAAGTCTGGACAATTGGAAAAACAGCATTACGAAGGTTTAATACAGTATTCTTTCGGGATACTGACGAACTCAATGAATTCAGGATAGCTATCAATATCAGATTCCAGGCCTTACAAGATCTACTTAAAGGAGAGGAAAATACTATGGAGAACAACTGGGAAGTTATCAAAGAAGTACTAACTCCAACGCGCCATGAGGTTCTGGGCCGTAAGAAGCATCATCATAAGAAACGGATCTCTGTCAGTCCACCAATGATCAAAGCATTCATCATGGCCATCAGACAAATCTAGGGTGGAAAAGCAATAGGACCTGACAACTTGCCAGCTGAAGCACTGGAGTCAGACATTGATCTTATTGCAAAGGTACTCTACCTTCTATTCAGGAAGAACAAGTACCGACGGACTGGATAGAAGGATACCTCAAGATACCAAAGAAAGAACTGAGCAAATGAGAGAATTACTGAGGCATCACACTACTATCAGTTCCACGAAAAGTTTTCATCAAATTGTTTTTGAAGCGAGCGAATAATACAGTGGACGCGATACTTCCAACTATAGCTAACCATTAGTTACTTTACATAAACTTCCTTGACCATGAGAAAGCGTTTGACGGTGTGGACAAGGAAATTTTATAGAACCTTTTTTTGACACTGGTATACCTGAGAAGATTATCAACATCGTACGGAATTCATACGACGGATCACATTGAAAAGTCGTTTATGGAAGATAGCTGACAGATGTATTCCAAGTGAAGAGCGGTGTCAAACAGGGTTGCTTACTTTCACCGTTTTTCTTTCGGTGGCTGAGTGGATTATGAAAGCCTCCACATCTCAGGGGAAGCACTGTATACAGTTAACAGCTTGGATACTTCCGGATGATTTGAACTTTGCATATGATCTAGTCCTTTCCCAAACATACCAACAAATGCAGAGGTCAGATATTGTAGCAGCAACTTCTGCACTAGGGATAAGGCAAGATCTTAAAATGTAACGCAGTAGCTACCAAATCACACTTGATGGGGAAGTTTTGGAAGAGGTGGAAAGTATTACGTACCTGGACAACATCACTGATTAACAGAAGGGATCTGATGCAGATATAAAAGCAAGAATTAGCAAAGTAAGGGCAGGATTCTCAGAACTGAAGAACGTATGGAACTCAAAACAACTGTCAGCCAACATCAAAGTCAGAATCTTCAATACGAACGTTAAGACAGTTCTGCTGTATGGATCTGAAACTTGAAGAACTACTAAATCATCATAAAAAAGTGCAAGTATTTGTGAACAATTGTCCACACAAGATATTGAATGTCTGTTGACCGAATATCATCAGCAACAGCCTACTGTGAGAGTGAAAAAACCATTTTCCAACTGTGGGGGGGGGGGAAATCATGGAAAGATGCCGGCCGTCGATGAATCACATTTGACAGAAATTATCATAAGACACGCCATAACTTGGGATTTTCAAAACAAAAATGAAAGATGGAGACCAAAATAAACATGGGGCGGGAATTGGGCAGACATCAAAGGAATGAATAGCGACTGTAAACAAATTGAAAAGACTGCCCGGGACAGAGTTGGATGGGGAATTTTAATGGACGGCCTATGTTCCTCCACTCTGCATAACAGGCGTAAGTACGTAAATAAGTAAACTATCATCAGTATAGTGTTCTGACACCTATGAGGCCTATGAAGTGTATCTCAAATGCATTTACTCTGTAGGAAACAGCTTCAACTTAAGGTCCCTAATAAGGATGACCTGGCTACATATAAAAATGGTTGTGACTGCTTTATTTTCTCTTTGTTAATACGACTTTGTTCACAGTCTTTGTGTTCTCTTTTTATATAATTTGGTAGTTTATACATGAAATCAATGGTATTATTTGGAATTGCCTTAATATTTGAATGAATTCATTTTTGTCAAGAAATCAGAATTATTTAATGTGTGTATCTACTTAATTTTAATGCTTTCCAAGTAAATTTCCATAGGTACGGAGTCAAACATACGGTTATTAAATTCGATAGATTTTTGAGCTTGACTTGTAAAGGTGATACTTTATCGACACAGACGCATAGCAACCAAGCTATTCATTATTATCATTTATGGGCAAAGTCCGAAATTTCATACTCTGTGATTTTTTTACTTGTATTTTCGTCAAAGCTTTTCTTATTATATTACAAATTTTTAAAATGTTTTTTAAAATTTTTTACTTAATTAGACATTTCATGGCTCAATACGATATAAAAATAAAACGTTTCAATTCAACAACATGCATGACGTAAGTAACCTTACTATAATTACTGAAAATGCTGGACATATTAATTATGGATCTAACATGTATTCGGATGTAAAGGTAAGTTAAAGAATGCATTATCTCCTTATTTTGTGCCTTAATAATGAATCAAACCATTGTAATCTTAAAATAATGCTCTCATGCTGTGATTTATTACTGGACGCCGTCACACTGTAGTGACCGACACCACAAATGGGGAAAATCTATCGTGTTTTAAATACGAAATTATAGAGTATCTTGGTAAAATATAAGAACTATACACTGAACACTTCATTTGCGAATTTCCATCATTTATCCTTCACATTCTGTATGATTCTTTAAGTTCAAAATTCCTTTCTATTCTCTTCAACTCGATCTTCTTAGCCTTCTGCTACCAGGTTTTCCATTTCCAATTAGTGTTACATACTGCTTATGTCTGTCGACATAAGTGGCATACACCACGTCACTACTATATTTAAAGTTATTGACCTGATATGATTAAACGTTTTGATTAGGTAAATATTTAACTAAACGTGTAATGTGACTGAATACATAAAGCTAATGACTGTACCATAAGGTTAACTAGAAAATAGAGAAGCAATGATAAACAGTTGATATATCCTGTATGACCATAAAGGATACACGTGTAAGTATCATTAACAAGGTTTGGCTGATAATTCCGAATAAATTAAGCATTGGGTAGATTGTTATAAACAAAGTAATATATTTGTATTATTCCAATGAGTAGACATATCAATTGACTTGTTCAGACCTATTATTTGATTGATCGTACATAATATTCTTACGTTGTTCCTTTGTACTATTTAAACTTGGATTAGTTTTGATTTGGTTATTTATTCTCTGAAGAAGTGGCTTACACTGAGTCACGAAACGTCAGAAAATTTAATTTTCCTACTCACTGGGATATTACAAATATATTATTTTATTGATACAAGTGTAACTTCCAGTCTCACAGGTTCTAACCTTTGGTTCTCGTTCCACCCCTAACATTTTAATACAAACCAGTTATCGTCTCTAGGAGACTGCAGAAATAAACTACTGTTATTCTGTCAATTTTATACTTGTAACAACATCTTTATCATAGCTGACGAGAACAAATGTTATAACATGTTCCCCTATTTTTATTTTAAAAGTTCAGTTTCAATTATAATCCTGTTTTTAGGGTATTACTGGACCGGTAATATTGAATGGAAAAGAACTTCGAGATTGGACCATGATTCCAATTAGAGATCCGTTTGCTATAGTGAGCACAAACAAAATGTGAGTAGAATATCATTAGATTAACACTTTTCACCTTTGCGTAAGGGTGACTGTCCTCATGATAAAGTTTCTCACTATTGTATTTGCCGTCGGGCGAGTTTCATTTGTGAATAACAATGTAATTATCTCTGCGTTCGAGAGAAAAAATGATCTAATATTTTAATTAGTTTTAGTGGTAGGTAGGTTCCTAGACGTATACAGTTTTTCAAATGTGTGTGATCGTAGTTTCCAATATAGCATGTTAATTTTCGAATAGAACATGAACAAAAATGGAACGATAAAATATCCAGTTATTTGTTATGAAATTTTCAAAGAATGACTATGAATTATAGAGAATTTACTACTGATGTTTCGAATACGTGATTCTGATAAACATTCTGTTATAAAGGCTTTATCATGGTGTTCTTTATTTGCTATTTTATGCAAAGCTACTGTTTTTTGGGGTGATGTATTCAACATAGATTGATTAAAACTGAAATGTATTGTGAACGTAAACAAATAAGAATGGTAGTATTCGAAAATGTCAATTTTTAGCATCCACCCTCTCCCAAAACTAGCACTTCACTAACCAACGAATTTTCTACTTTTATTTGACACTAACATTAACAGTTCGGAGTGACATGTTGCTCAACATTTTCGGCTTAATCGAATCTGTCAATTACCTCTGATGTTACATGACCGGGTTTCACTGTGTTGTAAACAGTGTAAATGTCAGTATTATAATCCATTAAAGTATGTATATCCATTAGCTGTACACCAGTTAATTGGAGATTCATAGTGTGTGTGTGTGTGTGTGTGTTTATTTAGATATTAAATAATGATTAGTGTAGAAGGTCATGGTCATTTCAGTTCGTTTGTTCGGGGTTAAATGATGGATTGATGTTTGGATTGTGGAAGCATTCAATTTTATGGGTAAGAATAGACAAAGTGAATTGCCATACTCAATTTACTGGCCAAAACATTTATGGTGTAATGTTTCGGCGAAGTATGTTGATGAAGACCAGTAAATAATTTTGATCACAATTTCACTGAATATATGTCCCAAGATAGTTATGCAACTACATTGTTAGTCATTTAGTTAGTTGCAACCTAGGAAATTGCACAGATCTGCATCGGCCGAAGTTGACACTTCAATATTAATCTATTAGTGTTTTTGTTTGATTACAGAACTTCACTTAGTTGACTCAGTAAATTTAATGTAACATTACGAATTCCGTTGATTTTTAATTTCATCATTTTTCAATCCTAAACATATGAATAAGTACGTTAACTGGTGAGTATATCAGTTGTCGATGCCAAATTGTATTTGAGTGACACATCGGACTCGTCACTATTATGATTTGACCATTATATTTTTTTATACTGTGTACATTTCTACGCACATAATTTTACTGTAGAAAACGTGTAACATTCAAACGTCAGAGTTAGTTCACAGAAACAAAATGACAACGATTTCTATGTACATGAAACATATATCTGAAATTTTACTAAGCTTGAGTTTATAAACAAACAATAGATGATAAGGTGTAAATAATTCAGAACATCTGTCTGTTTGAAAGAGATTCTACTGCCAAGTGGATAAATGAATATGAGAATGCTTGATGATAATACTTCTGTCATAACCTGTTGAAATTAGAAATGTTGAGGTTTATACTAATTATGCAAGTTCTGGTTATATGCTTCTTTCTAAGTAGAAGTTAGATAGCCAGCATAAAAGTACTACATTTATTAGGCTGGATATTTTCTGTAAGTTCCAATTACAAATATTTCCTCACAGACGTAGCGGAAAACTTTGCAGCTGATTCGGTAAATTTATGGATTGGTTTTCTATTGAAAGTAAGAAGGATGAATCGACAACTTGTCAAAGCAAATGTCTTCAGGTCATAGTATCGGAAATTCCTATCCAGTCAATTCCTTAACACTCGCTTTCAGACTTTTGTTTTGTTATCAGATGAATGATTTGTTATAAAGAAAGTTTTTCTAATTCACTGACTCGTAAAATGACCTTTTAGTTGTGTTGTCAAACGGACAATGATCTAATTATTATTAGGCAATCAAGTAAATCATATTTTCAGTAGAACTTTCTGAGGAACGTTTTCTGCCCAACATTAAGATCGCTTTACCAAGTTGTTTCGTGTGAATTAGTTTTCATGATTTGAAGATAGTTTCTTGCAACGAATCGATCTTTTCCCAATGCCTGAATTCATCATTAGTACTTATTCAGGACATGTTATCTACACAATATATGTGTTATAGATTGATTCAGTAGGAGGTTCATTGACTTTAAAATACATTGAAACATTTTCTCAGTAATCACTTATGTTTACTAGTTTCTCAATCAACTTTAATTTTAATTGAAATCTGGATTTAATGTCATCAGACTTATTTCATGTTGTTGTTTCAACGACTGTCTATCTATTTTAAAAGGAAACATTTTCTGTCAGAAAAGAAGTGGCCAGTACCTGGATCTATTTATCACGGAGCATTCGTTGTTGAGGATTTGGGAGATACTTTCATCCAACCTGATAGTTTTGTGAGGGTAAGGAAGAGGTTTAATATTTGAATTTAAGATGTAAATGTAAAGGTGTGTTTAACGGTCATTTACATGACAAACTGTATTCACAAAACATGAATATGCTTTCCTGATTACTTTCATTCTTTGAACATCGACGCAAACATAAAAATCTGTTAACTCTCGTTAAAAGTTGATTTGATTGAAGAATTACTACATGAGAGTGGTTCATTCTAATATAGTCTTTATGATTTTACTCTGATATCTCGTACTAACTACTGTCTTCTTTTTTATCACCTTCATTAAATACATGATTAACGTATTACAGCACGGTATCACACTGACATACGCTTAATTTTAGATAGTTTTTTTAGTAAAACAGACAGACCCTGGTTGTTTATGAGATACGATTCTAATCTCATAGACATCTGATTATGACTTGAACAACTTCAGAATCCATCTTGTTATCCTAAGAGAACAGTCGACAGTACAGGAGCTGTTGAAAGTTATTTACACAAATAAATTTTGACCGTTTTGTGAAATTCTGTGTAGTGAGTTCTTTCCAATACAGAAGAGAAGTTTTTAAAGTATAAATTGAATTGTTTTGAAATGAAGTGAGTGGCCTTAAACGTCTCGTCTGCATCAATTTTTTTCAAATAACAGATGAAACTTCTAAATATGCAGCTTTTTGATATTTTGATGTGAAATCTTGTCGACTACATACAGTGATATCTAATAGCAAGTTAGAAGGCATTAGCTATTTTACTGAAGTATTTTACTTTACCCCATGTCTTTATGTGGTTATAAACAGTCTTTCCAACTGCAGTATTTTGTCGGTGTCATTGTTGTGGAGCAGTGGTTCAAAGCTGTTGGTGTATTTATTTATTTTAACACATAAGTATAGGTACAGAGAGGCACTAAGTACATATGCGCCACACGAATCTCAATTGATTTGTGTGAGGGCTGTGATACTGCTCGGGTGCCCAAACCGAAGCAGGTGGTTTTCTTAGGGGGCCACACCCCGAGCCTTCGACCTGAACGTCTAACCCACAAGGCAGTGGAGCATCGTGAGGAGATGCAGTCCCATGGAAGCCGGTGACCAACGATTGGTTCATACGCCATTTGTTCCTTCAGGATACTGGAGCCCATGTGCACCATAGAATTGGGATCCGGTTATAGCTCCGGACATTCGCTTTTCGTCCTCTCATTTTTGTAAACAACATCCCCGCCACGAGAAGGCAGTGAGCAGGACTTCCCTGGCAGAGGCTGTATACGCATGGCCATGTGAGAGCATTTCGAGAGGGAGAGTGGACTCTCCCCACTCTCGGCCGTACCAGGGCATGTATAAGTACATATCTATTTTAAATGTCGTTTAACTTCAACTCCCATGTCTCGGTTCCGTAGAAGAATAGATATCAGTGTTCTAAACAATATGTTAGATAAATGGAATTTAATAAAAATTTAACAGATTGATTTGTACACTCCAAAAGATTCTGGTAAATATTTACTATGATCACTAGATAATGTGTAACTTAGAGCTCTTTACCACATGCCTACAGGAATGACGACCAATGTTGTCAGATTGACATATCCTCTGTTCATTCGTAATCATGAAACTAGGATTTTTAATATCATGAAATCCATGTTCATAATTTTGTTTTATTTCGTTCGCAGGGAATAATATCAGTTAATGGTCATCATGTAGGACGATTTGATCAGCGACAAGGACCACAGCTTCGACTGTATGTGCCGAAAACATTTTTAAAACTGGGTAGAAATCATATAACAATCACAGAATTACGAGGTCCTATAAAAGATAATGCACATCATGTCCATATTACATTTCATGATCAAATGCTTTGGAAGTAATTATTTATCATTATGTGAATGCCGGTTTCATGCCTTACAATGTATTAATTGGACAGAACTAATTTTTGAATTTCTTTTATTCATTATTATTTTTAATGCTATCTATTAATATACACAATGAACATTGAGCATTTGTTAGATTCTCGTTAGTTTCTAAGTGCCCTAAAAGTACATGTGTCTGCGAAAATCATTTTCTTACATTTTCCATAATTCTGGTCATTTTATTATTTATTTATTTGAACACATAAATATTAGTACAGGGAGGCACCAAATATATATGCGCCACACAAAACAATGAGAATTTAAAGAGAAGGAAAAAAAGGTAAGGAACGTAGGGAATTATAAAAAAGAAGAACAATAATGGGGGAAACGAAAAGGTACAATCAGAGGAAATCTTACAGTTAAGGAAGAAGCAACCACTTTTTATGAAGAAAGTAAAAAAGGTTACAGCAGGATCGCCACTGGCTTCTATTCTGAGCCATATCTGATAACGTTTCTAGCCACTGTGTTGCACCATCTCTTGGACCCCAGCCAGGGAGTCGTGAAGGATCAACACAAGCCAGCCCTTTGCAGCTTTCTTTCATACCACGAAACCATGTCATATACAGACCACTACGATTGTTGGCCTTTGATAAGTATGGCGGTGTTCTAACACTTGGCGGAGGGTGAAGATATGATCAATACATCCTCGACCAGAACGAAACTCAGCCTGATCCTCGCGAGTCAATCCTTCTCGGGTTCTGAACAACCTACGAAGTATGACGGAAGCCAATTGTTTGGACGCAATCGGAAGTAGACTTATCCCCCGATAGTTGTTACAGGAACGACGTGAACCCTTTTTAAAGATAGGGACAACTATCGACTCATTCCATGACGTTGGTACACTCTCTAGTTCCCAGATCTTTGTAAACAACGTCGTCAGTCCCTTAGTCAGAAAGTCACCACCATCTTTAAAAAGAGCCGGAGGTAAGTCGTCTGGGCCGGGTGATTTGTAACGTTTCAAGAGTTGGAGTTCCTTTCGGACTTCCGACTCATTTGGTGGATCACTCGTCACCGGTCATGGAGGGCAGGACAGTCTAACCGATGTTGCCGTAGCAGTTTGAGGTGCTGGTTTATGGAAATAAAGAATCATTGTTTAGATGTTTGATTCGTAATGGGAGTTATTAAGGGTAGTTATCTTGTGATCAAATCTGAGACCATCTAATAATCATTTTTAGTGAACAACATGACCGTGAATTTGACCACATATTCGGCCGTTAAAAATGATTAATCTAACGTATGAGGAAATGTGTACCTTGTAATATGGTTGAGAAGTCATTTTTGTAAATGAAATGTTCTAAATATTATCTTATTTGACTCCAAAACACGTTTACATCACCTGCTCATTTGGCACTCAGTTTTACCATCAAAATATTCTAACGTACCTGAGAGTAAGCCACCGAACACATACCGACATTCAAATAGATGTAACTCAACCTGCAATAGGAGAAATCAGCAAAGTCATCAGGCAAATCAATATCGTCAAACAGCAAGACCAGAAAGCATACTAGCTAAAGCACTAGAGCAAACTAATAGTGTTCCACGTTTGGGAGGAAGAACAAGTACCGTTGAACTAAATGCGAAGATACTTCATCAAGGTACCAAAAACGGACTCTTTAGTACACTTGAGAACTACTAGCAGTTGTTTGAACTAATTGTAACTAACATAATGCCTAATATAACGGACTATAACACGTTTTTCGTGGAATACCTAGGCAAAATTAGTACGGATATTTTTCTGGAACGTTTTTTGACAAATGAACCTGTCTGATGATTCTTCATTAAAAATATTCATTTTGAATGTAGGGGTTGAAGTCGTAAAATCTAAAGTGACTATAGAATATGTGCAAGAAAGAATCTTTATTTGACATTCAGATATTATTTCATATATAATTGGTACAGATACCACAGAACCTAGTTTCCATTTTTTTGTTGTAATGACAAACTACTTAGCAGTAGTATACTAGAAAAAACATATTATTTGGATAATTAGTTTTCATTTTCGGCTAGACTGTTATTTCCGACTTACAACAAAGCAGTGTTTTTTTCCTACTCACTAGCACCGTACTTTCATGAGAGTAAAATACAGTCAAAATAATGTCTGACGGATTATTGTTGTTGAACTGGTGTAAGTTGTTTATATAATGTTTTGCATTACATAATTCAACTAAGAGTCAGTGTGATTGCGAATTTGTGCTTAAGCTGCCGTATGGTTATGCATTTCACTTAATATTAACATGACGATGTCGAAAGATGTGATTTGTTTGGTTTCACTCTAGCAAGTAGTCGGTAACTGATGTATATCATATATTTTAAGTGACTAGATTGTAATATATATATATATATATATATATATATATATATATATATATATATATATATATATATATATATATATATATATATATATATATGAAAATTATTTGTTAAAGCACTGGTTCCCTGACGAAATATTAACAGAGAATGAACATGATGATGTAATAGAAAGTTTGTGATACTAGATTACTCTATGTAAATAACAATGAAAGATTGTGTGTGTAAATAAAAAGCTTTGTAAAACTCACAAATTAGCAACGGTTTATAGTGTTACAATTAAGACATTTTTGTTACGAGAATTAAAGGTAATAGAGGGGTTAAATGAAATGATGTCAGAGACAGTTATAAATAAAATCATAGGGATATGACAAATAATTAGAGAGGGGAATATTTTCAAATACGAAATATAATAATAATGCCCATGGTAATGGTAAAGACAAAACGTACTTCTTTTGCACGCACTGTTCCGGCTTCATCTCATGGATGTTGTTGTTGTTTTAAGGATTCGGATAAGCACATAGAGGCGACCAGACGAGGAGGCTTATCCTTTACGGATACGAAAAGCAAGTTCCTACTAGTGAACGGTAGTCGCAGCTTTGCTGCATAGAACGTTCTTTTTACCTCTACCGTTTACCGACTTTTAGTCATATCAGATTCATATAAATATAGTTGTTTGAATCGGCATTGCCGAACTTCTTGTTCTGACTTCTTTTTTGTTTTATTCTTCGTGAAGTGACTTGGATAGATGTTTTCAGCCAGAGTTTTCCTGGGGAACGAAAGTTCTTCGTCAATGCATTCCGTATTACATATCCGATAAATTCGGCAGCACAAAGGGTGAATAGGATTACGCTCTCTGCTTAATGGGACTCAGCTCTTGAATTTGTTCAGCTGACCGTCCCACATTTGATTTTTGTAGATTGACCTTTTTATGGATGCATCACTCCTTGTCAGACGTTTATTAAAAAAGCGATTGAATGAGCAAGCTTATTTTCTGAACTGAAATGTATAAAAGTATGGCATGTGTCGAAGGAATGTAAAGGACGTGCCATTTCAATATTATCGTCACAAATGTGTCGTTTATGTATCTTATAGGTTATATCGATTGATAATCGAACTAAGTTGTCTGTTTTCCAGCTTTGTCTTCACGGAACTATTACTTTAACAAAAAACTTCATATATATATATATATATATATATATATATATATATATATATATATAGGATTGTACAGATTGATAATAAATTCGTTGAAAAGAGATCTTTTTGTATTTTAATAATTTATTCACGCCCTATAGTTTTCTAGTACCACTTACTAACACAAAAGTTTTCACATCAGTATGCAATAATCTACTTGATGAAGAAGCATTCTGATAAAAGCATTAGATTTAGCAATTCTTATTGTCTTGTGTCCTGTGCGAAATCTCTGGCGACTGTGTCCTAAATACACGTAGTCATTTTAAGTTCATGCTTTTGAAATGTATAAAATGAGGCACATGAATAACCTACTCCAATACATTCATACTTAAAAATCCATTAATGTAATGTGTGAAGACGTGTTGGTCATCTTTATCACCATTGATAATATATCTGTTAGAGATGAAATTGATTTCAATCCTTATCTGATATCGTGTGAACTTTTGTATTTATGACCTAGTCATCTCTGAAACACTTCCAACAAACTATACACCACTGTTTTCGTTTTTTATAGTTGAAGCTTAGAATAGAACTTTAAATAAGCTCACTTGGTGACTTTTATCAAAATGTTTTACCTTCACATGTAACTCTGTTAGCTTTATAAGAAACTCTTTTCCTGACAGAATAAACAAGATTCTACTTTAGGAAACGATTAATTATCTGAAAAGTCTACTTTGAAGTAAACTAACGGTGTTGTCTTCTTAAACGTTAGTATAGAGTAGAGAGCGAACGGTTAACCAAACTGTTACCGTTGGGAGGTGCCCGAACGGATCAATGTTCAGGATATATGACAATGAAACGTTGAAAATAATTATGGTGTTTTATTTTTCATATGGATTGTCAGAAAATGATTTTGCCAAACTACTGGCTGTATAGAAAACAATTTTCAATAGAATTTCACTAATATGAATGTTAATTAAGCGTCTAATATCATGTTACCTGTTCTCTGGAAGGCCCACAAAATTATGAATTTGATACAGATGGGTTCAAATACCTGCTTGAAGTCTTACATCAGCACAGAGATTATACTTCAAATCGCTCCATATGCGTTTGAGCTACTATAGGTAAATATTTACCAGTTTTTTGGAAAATTTTTTCGGCAAGATTTTCCCGTTATCGTTCTGTATCAATTCAAAAGTCTTTTTGCTACCAGAGTTCCACACAATTGACATAAACTTATAGTCGGCGAAATATTTACCAGCATAGTTTTTAATAGCTCTAGTAGTGCAATTATGCGTAATGGTCAACTTAGGTTGATGTTATCTTTTCATTTTACTGTTTGGGTGAAGATAGAAGAAATACGGTACATTTCTTGATTAGATGAGGGGTTCAGTATTTATTTTTCTATTCAATCATTTCATTTTACTAAACTAAACATGTTATTCCAATACTTAACGTGTTATTCATCTCCTCGGATGCCAACTTCTCTTCAGTTCACTTTATGGAAATTTCCCATCATATGCTTTTACATGTTTTATCATCTACTAATGATTAATTTATTCCAGGCGCCTATTATAACTAGAACTCTAAATTTATGGGTTAAAGGTATATGCTGTAACATGGAAAAAATTTTACTGAGGATAAAACTCTTGGGCATGAAAATCTTTGATGTGGTATAGCATAATCCAGAAATCTGTCCTTAATTTGAACAGTGCCTCAAAAGGATAATCGATTTCTCACTTACAAATACTAAACAAACATTTACACGATTTGATTATGTATTTCTTTTCTTCATTTTACAGAGGAAGCATTACTTTGAATTGTTAATAGATTGATAAAATTAAATTTTTTCTGCACTCACATAATTAAAAGTGGAACTTGGAAATTATTTTCGTCTAAAGACTTCTATGCGTTTCATATAATCATGTATGTTGTTACTGATTAGTTATTTACAGCGAATTTGTTTTACTAGTCTGTAAATTCTTATAGAAAGTAATAAACCTATGTGGTGCTGAAATAAATGATTTTGTACGCTTGTTAATATTTGATTGAGCAAGTACCCTATAAATTTTAATAAAGCTGAAGGTTTAATTAAGAGAAGTACCCATGTGTAAGTTGAAATTAATAATAATTATTATTATAACTGCCAATATTTCTCTTACTTAATATTATTTTTCGCTTTAACAGTTTTCACTTATCATGAGTCTGTATTTATAATATACTGCGAGTAAAGTTTATTAAACTGGTACTTGAATTTCGGTGATGAAATATAATACAAGAAAATCCACCGACACAAGCGAAACTATAGAACCCAGTCATTCTATACATGTTAATATATAATCACCTCGAAGAGTTGGTGTGCTGATTTTTTTGAAGGTTCTTTCATTCAGGTTAACCAAATTTTCATGTAGGAAATTAGAACTTATAAACTAATGTTTTTGTTCCAAAAGTAATGAGTGAGCTCGTTTGTTACAGTTGCATTCAAAATATTTTACAAGAACTATGAAATTCGTTATCATATCTGGCTTAACTTATATTCAGTGGTTACACAGGAATGGAATTCATGTTAAGCGTTTCATCACATTTGTGTCTCGTATGTTAAAGTCATCTGTGTTCTAATGTGTTATTGCTACTCTAAACTCACGACTTTAAAGCCAGATTATTATTAAGATGTCGTATATTTTCTCAAAAAAAGTTACGTTTCAAACCATATTACAAAGCCTATTTAAGAAGCACTATCTCCCAACAAAGAATAATTCTTTTTTTTCCATAAATGTTACACACACGCACACTTTCGCAATACTACTTGCAAGAACTAAAAGTAGTGGCTGGTTTACGTTAATCATCTAGTGGGTAAATGTCAAATGGCTTATGTCGGTTTCTAGTTTCGTTGATTATCCTTAGATGAATATTCAGATACTCTAACAGTAATGTTTCGATTGTAGCAAAACTTGAGTCCTTAATTCTGTTGTTAGTCACTCCAAAAATAAATATTTTGTTTAGTTTTGTATAATACAAAGCATGCTATATTGGCGAACCAACTTTTCAAAACTTTAGAGCCTGTCAGTAAAATGTTAAACTATATTTTATTCACTCAGTAGATTATTATGATAAGTGTGATAGATAAGTGATTGTGTTTAACTAAGTAAATAATAAGAAAAGACAAAACGGTGGTATGTTTACTTGGTTGATGTCTTGGCAAATATAAACGAATTAATTCCATGGCTTATTTAGTGCGGAATGTCATATTTACATTGGAATAAAGAACGTTTCTTGTGTTTAATCAGAATATTGTCATTACAAAAACTAAACTTGAGTGACAATATATATTTATTTATCTATATTATATTAAGAGATAACTCTAGTCAGTCCTTTTTTTTCTAACTCTAGAAAGTGTCATTATGTAATTAATTTTAAATATTATGTGTACAGAAAAGAATGAAGTTAGAACATGTGCAGAATAAGAAAGAGACATTTTAAATGACAAATACAACATTAAACAATGAAGAAGAGAAAATAACGAACAATGGTTAACTAATAATTAGTTTAATTAATTATTTAATTGGTTTGGTTTAAGTTTAGGCCAATCATCATCAGTTGAAAAACCACTTGGAATTCGATTTGAATCACTTAATTTTTGGATGGCTAGTTTTGACTTCATAATGGTATGAAGTTTTGATACTCTTCAAGACTGAAACCGAGACCTTTAATTTTCATGACCAGATTACATTCCAATTATTTATGATTAGTATTATTTTCTGAGGACTACTAAGCTAAAAGTTATTTATCAATTACAAATCCAACTGATAAACTTATATTAAATTATATTTTATATCCTATATATAAGACGAAAATGGTCAGTGAGATTCCCTGGTAAAATTATTTTTTGACTTATGAAGTAGAATAAAACAATGTTTTGCGACTAATCACTCACTTTTTAAGAGATCAAATGGGCTGGTGGATTAGAATCTTGTGAATATTTTGGCATAAGTATGAGACAAGCAATAGCATTTATCGTTGATAAGAATAGGTAAGTTATCATTTGTATACAGTCTAAACGTGAAGCTAATTTGCGGTAAGGATATGGATTTAATTCTGTGGAGTAATCAGTATGGTGGTTATAACTGCTGTTGCTTAACAAGCTTCGTTTATGGCGTTTTCCACACTTGGACGGTGGGAAATGATATAAATGGCGGTGATTATGATGTCTAGTATATTCTTTACTCAGTTGATAAGTTTGTGCAGCTGCTTCAAATGCTGCATTTATTGCTGCTTGAGCGGCTAACTTAGAATCAATATGATCAAATTCTTCCACTGTTTCGATTGGTAAGTCACTTCGTATATATTTCCTTGATTTAGCTGTCTCATAAAAACCAGAAGCGTTTTTGTTTGCGTTAAGATTTGGTTTCGCCCCATACATTTTTGGTTGAGATGGATTTAGATCTAATACACCATAATCAGAAGCAATAACACGAGTAGCTGCCAAGGCCGCTGCGGCAGTTGCTGTTACAGTTGTTCGGAATATTCTTTCTGAGGTATCACTATCTACTTCATCTGTATCACTCTTTACATAATCGTTTTCGTCATCACTTGGTGAACTTTCAGTTACTGATGGCGCGGCGTATTTGCATGATGACTTCATTGGATACTTCTGCTTCATTATTTGGTCATATGACATCGGTAAATGTTCTCTCCAAGGAGATCTTTCTGAAACATTGCCTTTCGGTTTGTTTATTATAAAATGAGATTTATTTAAAAAATCACTATTATGTAATCTCGGATGGATCATTTTGTATTCATGGCATTTCATTATATCTTGTTTATCACTAATAGTACTGTTTTTAATTTCAGTGTTACTATTCTTAAAAGCATTAATGTTATGAATGATATTGGAATTAGCTGAATCTAGAAATTTAGGTCTTGATATTTTATTTACTTGTCCAATCGGACTGTCAGAATCTGGGTCAATAGGACGATATTTGACATCTGATGTAAAATTTGTTGTATTTAGGATAACTTCTGAATCACAATGGTTTATGAAGTGTCCACTGTCAGGATGGATTGGAAAATAACGATTTGATTGATTATTACTTTTACCACAATTACTGTTACTATTATTATTAACGTTCTTATTACTTTTACGTGATAAAAGTTTAACAGGTTTGCAGTACTTTTTAAAATAGTACTGTTGTCTGGAAATACTCTTCTCAATTAACTGGTTTGTTTGTTGTAATGATGATTTATATTTTGGTTCTTGTTTGTTTGTGTTACTGCGTGGTGTTTTATTTCTATCATTATAATTATGATTGTCATGTATGTGTCTATTAACATAAAGGTGTTCAGAGTATGGCTCACTATTACGTCGTTTACCTTGTCCAGTACCTGAGATTGTATAAATGAAATCTTGCCAATTGAGTAGTTCTGTTGATTGGTATAGTTTGTTGTTCATTACAGCAAGTATTGTTGCAATACTTAAGAGGCCAAGCTGATCCAGCAGAAAAATACCTGTAAGTGAAAGTAATCGAATGATTTGGTTGATATTTGTTAAGGATGGAACAGGTTTGAAATCCTCGACCAATAATTAGTTTTCAAACATCATTATATAAATTTAACTGAGTTGTTTAACACACTAGTCACTTCAATTTTCAGCACTCCTCAGTATGAAAGCGCTACGTAGCTCATTATCGTTAGTCATAAACAAACAAGACGTCTCTGCACTTGAAATTGTTTATTTGTAAGTTTTATTTATTATGAATGTGCTTCTCTATTTCAAAATCTAAAATATTATGTTGTTTGAGCAGCTATTATTTGAGATTTATTAACTGTACATTTTTCTATTAGTTCTTTCTACCAATGTAATAATTTTAGGAAATTATGGATGGCATACTGATTCTTCTTAAAAGGTTAAATTTGGTTTACATGTATGGATACCGGTTTATCAAAGGAAATCTTCATTGTCATTATCATAATCTAAGTAACTATGACCACACACTCATAACAAGAATCTTTACTCAAGATTTTGTACAGCTGAAACGAAAATGATTTGAACACCCAGCAACTTTTCTTGTGGTAAAGAGAGAAATATATGGGTGGTTGTGTGTAATCGGATTTCATTATGAGTCAGCACTTATGAAAACGGATATCATCAAGTAAAATGGGATGATTTCATAAATATTCAAGTGAATTGTCGACATTCGCAATCAAATAGATTGGTAATTGATAATAACTGAGGGGCTTTTACGTTGCAAAAAACAATTACCCATTACTTTAGAACTTATGAATATATTCAATAAATAACTCATTTAATATGGCACTTAAAGTTGTGATAAATTGAACATGCCTAATTTCAGAGTTCACTGAATGAGATTATTCTAAATCCCTGGTAATTATGTTGGGTATTGGAAATGAGGTTAAAAGAAAGGCTTAATTCTTGCAGTAGATACAATCCAAGAAAATTTGTCTGTCATACTAGAACCTCAATGTTATATTCATAAAAAACTGCTAAACATGTCTCGATTTCATTTGATATGCGTTGTGGTACTCCTGCTTTTCATATAAATAGGAAATGAACGTTGTTTACATAACCGGAAAAGTATTTTCTTTTTCGACCATAAAACGTCTTTCCATAATATTTTTATTATACAAGTGGATATGTAGACCTGAAGGTAAAGCTATGTACTAAGTTTAAGGTTATTTATTACTAGTTCATACCAGATACATGTAGCCGGAACTTCATACACATAGTACTATCTTTAATTCAGAAATAGAAAGTGGATATGGTAAGAAATCCAGACTTACCTAAAACAGGTAATGTCCTCATTGAGCGGGGAGCATTTGTTGACACAATCACCACATACATAGTCATACTGAGAACTAAGGAAAGTGCAACTGATAACCGATCTCCTGTATCATCTAATGTGAAGATCAAGCATGCAAGAGCAGATAACATTGAAAACGGAACAAGAACGAGTACAATAAAATACAGCGGCTGCCTTTTAAGATGGATAGCAATACTCACATATTGGTAAGTGACATTCATATCACTACGATATTTTTTCCGTACAAAATGAACAGATTGGATTTCCCATTCACTGACATTAGAATTAGGTAAGTAACTATTATCCACTGCTGAACCATGTGTAAATGGTTGCAAAAGTAATTGTTGTTCACCACTTTGCCATGGAACAAGAATCAAAAAACATGTTTGATAATCAAACGGAAAAAATGATACATCAAGGGGACATGTCACATCTAGAACCGCGCCATGAAGCCAAGTAACTGATCCATCATTGCTTACGGTAACGCGTCCTCTTACACCTGCACTAAAATCGAAATCAGTGGATGCCTTTCCATTCATAACACCCACATCTGGTATCCATAAATTTGTTGTTGGTAGACTGACTTCTTGAATTTCAGAGAACTCCTCTGGATCCCAAGTTAATCTGGGATCGGTCCATCTCTTCATGACCCAAGAAGGATTTAACACCAGTGAAAATTTATAGTTTAAACAGAATAAAAAATGTCATATCAAAACATGGATACATTGAAAATGATGTTTTAATTTTTAAAAAATTACATTAAGGATCACTAGGAAAAACTTCAAACTGATTGCTTACGGAACTGGAACCGTCTTAACTCACTTGATAGTTTTTCTGTAGTTTTAGATATTATACCTTGTGTGCTCGTTATCATTACATGAGGTAAAGCCAATTAAATTACTCTACTTAAGAATAAAATTTATACTCAATTAATTCAATTTCTTGTTGTTCCCTCATTATATGACATATCAGATCAAGATGACTGACATACTGAAATGGATGTACTCATCATTTGTATGTTTAAATTTTATTTATTTATTAATGAAAGAGTAGATATCTTAAAAGGTTTTGCTTTAAAATGTCTATCCTGTTCAACCAGAAAAACGTATCAAACTTGAATTTTTAATGAATAATGCCTCATTTCCCTGATATTAAGTCAGTATTTGGTTGGTGTCATATTGGTATATACGCATATGATTATTTGAACATGATAGAAAACTAAACCTTCAATTGGTATTGTTTGGCTTGTATCTTCCTATTGATGCTTAAGACTGCAATTGATCAGTCTGTTATTGGCATATGCGCAAACTATGCGTATGTCACGATATTGCCTTAATTCACAAGCTTTTTGTAGTGTAAGCAATGATGGATAGTGGCTAGCAGTGGAATCCAGGACGCGCGTTTCGTCCTACTTGGGACTCGTCAGCTGGATGTACCTGCATCTCAGGGTTGATGTTCACTCTGTAGCTGAGTGGATAACGCTATGGCGTTTGAAGCGAATGATACTGAGTTCGAGTCCCAGAGAAAAAATCAACTCTGAGATGCAGGTACATCCAGCTGACGAGTCCCAAATGGGACGAGACGCGCGTCCTTGATTCCACTGCTAGCCACTATCCATCATTGCTTACACTACATAAACCTTCAATTGTTGGTTTTTTTCACTGTTCAAATCTCTACCAAACCGAACAACATATTGGTTTTTCTTCCTTATATCATCCTACTCCCTAATTAACTATTTTAGAAATTAATTGACCTTTTTGAACAAATTTATGGTAATCGATTTCAACTCCTTAGTTATGTTCATTTATTTACACCTCTTTTAAATTTTGGTTGTAATGCATTGCATCTTTAATTTCAATTTGGCATTTGTTGTTTTAACTTCGTCTATCCGCTTCCCTCTAGTCAAATGTTTTTTATAATGTTGATTGATTAAGATATGAATTTTTGTGACATCAAAATGAAAATAAAAAAGAAAGAAATTTATCCGTTAAAGATGAAGAGGCAGGCAGGTAGAGAAAAATGAAATTATACAAGTCAAAACTAATAAATAGTACGTCTGTTTTTTTGTGTACACTATGAAAAACCCAGCTAAGCTTACAATAACTCATCTATAAGTAGATATTGAAAGGACAGCACAAGTAATGACTTGAATAATTTGTAAGGATATAAATCAGTAAAAAATTACTATAACCTCTGCTGTACACAAATTTCTAAGCAAATGTCAGTATTGGTTAAAGGCGATGTGGAACAAATTATTTTCTGCTACTATTGCTATCATATATTCTGTGACCGTTTATAAGAAATTCAATTAACAGAATCCTTACTCGTTACCAGTTGTTCATTAAGATTGACTTTTACCAACACTTCAGTTAAGCTATGATAGTTTTATTAACTCATAAGCTAAAGGTTTGTTGAAACGGTCGGAACTGTTTCAGTGTTGTGAAAAGTTAAATCATACCAGTATGAAATGTATAATTTATACTGAATGTTGGTCATTAACTTCGAATAAAACGTTGGTAACTTGATTTGAATTAAATATAGACAAATTTTAATTCATTAATAAATAATATCACACTTATACTTGATTAAATAATCGAATGTGGCCTGGATTCTCATTTATAAATCTTCCAAGCCCTAAATCAATGTTCTTTTGTTAAGCTATCACAGTACAAACATATCTGAGATGACGAAATCTAAGTTCTCAATGATTTACCATATCCAGACTAGGAATGCTTTTTATTTGAAAAATGACAACGTTCGTTGTGATGTACCCAGTTTGTTGATATTATCACACTTGATCTGATCAAATATTTTACATTTATTAAAGCACACACTAATCTTCACAACTTTAAAGACACCTTTAAAATATACTTAGTTTGAACGAAGTTGACTGTGATAAAAATAGTTTTTCTCATTTTCAAATAATTTAAACACACAAGATATTCTACACTAGTTTACATTTTGTACCGAAGGTGTGATTTGACCCACTGAGAATTAGAAATCAACTCCGTCATGTTAATCATAACAGCTAGATTTCGTTATGTCTTTTCGTATTGAGGTCAGTTGAATTATGATGGTAGTTTTTGCCTGGATATAATTCAGGAATATATTTTGATAAACAAGATAACTGATGTTCGCAAACAATTATTTCATCACATATAATAATAAATGAGTTATATCAAATAGTTGAAAGATCAGAGCATGATAAATGGCTTTTAGTCTAGTTTAAATAAGCAACTGTCAAATGCAACTGAGCTCAACCTCTGATCAACAAATTACATCCATCAAAAGAGCGAACGACGTCAGTTTAATAGGATTATTAAATGTACACTCAAGTTTCTTTACTTAGCAGCATAAAGTTACTAAACATTTTCACAAATAAGTGCATCTTGAATAAACGGTTTAAACTCATTTCTGATATGATCTTTATTAGGGAATAATGTTAAAGTTGACTCGAAATCCTACTGGGATTTATGATTAGACTGATTGCTGAGTCTCATATTCATTTTAAAGTCACTTACAGACTTTATCTCATTGAAAGTAATTCATTCGTTCTTACTTCAGATTATTGATTGGATGGTTAATGATTGTGAAGTAAAACTAAGTATTGTCAACTGTTCATCTATTACATCAATCTGTCTAATTATTAACTGCTTGTAAAGTTCTTCTTTTATGTAAAGTTGACCATGTTTCCCACCTTTTTCATATACTTACCGATGCTGCTTCTTTTAAATTTATTTTGAATTTTTCTTATGGATTGAAAAATGAACTAGCGACTGTAACAACTTTTTTGAGAAATATTATATCCATTGAAATAATAAGTGGAGAAATTTGTTCGTGTAATAGTTAACGTAATAGAAATGAATGATTTATCGTCATGTATTTCTAATTAAGTAATTATTCGCTTTTTCAGTTAGTAATTATCTAGATTTAGATGAAGATGATTTACAGCATCATGTAAGGTTGCTTTGTAGTCTCAAGGTTATAACTTCTATAAGCGGTCAAACAGCACAAAAGTTTATCAGATTTTTTTAAATTTAGAGGATATTTTATCAACTAATTGCATGCATTGCCGGAATCAGTCAACAGAAACTAATCATATTCAGCCTTGTCTAAGAGGGGGATAGTTTCCACTTAATAATTTATTCAAAAACAGTTTAGTAAACTACTTCTTGATGTGTTACACTTGAAAATGTTAGTTATATGAACAATATCGCAACTAAGTTGAGGATAACAGTCCCTCTATAAAATGGAATCAATCCTTGTAACTGGATATTAGAAAACGTTTTGAAAGACTTACCATAGTAAACCATCCAGAGATACTCAAGGTTTCTTCTGACTGTGACTGGAATGGAAAGAGTTAATAAATCAAACTCAAAATGTTTTCATTTCTGTGGTTAATTATTGAACAGTTCATGTAAAATATCCAAAGTAATCCCGGTCTCTAGGAACATAAAATATGACACTTCTTCTGTAACACTATTTAGAAATATGAAAAGTGACTTCGAAGTTCATTTAGTGATAAATATCATGTTATTTGAGATAAAGTCTAATATAATTCTTCGTTGTATTTTATTTAAAATCATGCAAAATTCAATAGTACAGCAGAACCTTAAAAGAATATAAATTCAGGTTACAAGAGATCCATTACACTGATATAGCGGAAAGAGTGTTTTTCAGAACACAAATTATAAAACTTGATATATTGGTCATTTCTCCAACTTCATGTCAGTTAATTTACTTGTGTCTAGAAGCCAAAGAAACGATTACGTACCTCAAGAGCCACTGCATTTTTAGAGTCATTTGTCACAATTCATCTTCCCAAATAAATCACATTCCTACGGTAGTCTGCAACTAGACTTATGCAGTGTTTTCAACAACAATAGTAACATCCATTAAATACCTAAATGTCAAGTTACACAAAATAGAGTTCGAAAACATGAATATACTTAACTTTCAAATGGCGTGGTGTTGATGAACTTTCATCATAAATTGTATTTTTGATGATATATTAGTCAATTTTTCTGTATTAGTTTAGAGATTTATCCTAAGTACAAGAAATAATGCACTTAAACAATCTTAGTGGTGATTGTTTATAAAATTGTATAAAAGATAAGTCCCATATTTTTTTGCGACGTTTTTTTATGTTTTGATATCTTCTGGTTTATTCATTGTACTTAAATTTGTCATCTTGAAACATTCAACTGATCGACAATAGATAATACGGAGGAATAATTCTCTAAACATCTAACGAAAAGTTAGATGATTTTCATATAGAACGATTTTTTGTCGTACTTGTGGAAACACAGTGAATCGCTTTCGTATCTGTTTACAATTTCTTGGTTGTGAACGCCTGATTATAGTGAGGTTTCTGTAGTAGTTTTGAACATTACCATAGGTATCGAGTGCCGAAAACTGTTGTAACTCTTTACATTGTAGTTGCCTTCTGTTAACTGTACTGAATTTGCAGTCTGAAATTATCAGTTACTCTTGACTTCTTGAAAAAGATATACATACCTGCATTTAGCAGAGAATAGATATAACCATCCTTTTTCGTTCGCTCAATTCAGAACGAAAACGAAAACCTACGTTTCTGTTTCATAATGTCATTAACGAAATGCATGATGACTGTGTAGACCATTTATCCAAAGCTTTACTCGATCTCAACATTATAATCAAATCTTGATGGTATAGTGAGAACTCTTAAAGCATTTTCTATTAATGTATCTATCCGTCTATCCAAGAATTTGTGAACAAAATTTTCTACAGCATTAATGACCATAAAATACACAAAAAATAAACCTACAAATCCAAGAATCTGCACAACATTATATGTTATATTAACGTGTACAGGATTTGTAGACTGATTCATATAACCATTTGGTCGGACAGTTAAACTCCCTCGATTCAGTAGTTGAGCTACCAGCTTTTCTTCTGCTGTAAATGAACCACTCCGAAGATTCGAATCACTTATTGTAAATTGGGGTTCATCATATGAAACTAGAAAAATAAAAAATAGAGCGATCACCACATTAATTCGATAATATCGATTTTTGAATAGAACTAAATTATGATTCTGGTGGAGCAACGAATCTCCACTTTATGATTCACCAACAGGTATCTATCTATGGAGGCCGGATACCATCAGCAACGGCCTACTGTCGGTGAGAACAAACCAACTTCCAGCTGAAGAGGAATTTAGGAAAAGACGTTGGAAGTGGATAGGACATGCATTGAGGAAATCATCAGACTGCATCATGAAGCAAGCGCTAACTCGGAATCCTGAAGGGAAATGGAAAAGACGAAGGCCAAAGAACACACTATCGAGAATTAGAAGCAGACATGAAAAGGATAAGTAGAAACTGGAAACAACTGAAAACGATTGTCGAGGACAGAGTTATGTGAAGAATGCTGGTGAGCAGCCAATGCTCCTCCACGAAGGGCAACAGGCATAAGTATGTAATCTAACTATGGATGATATTTCGATTAGTATATTAACACTAGATAGATAAAATATTAAGTGTTATAACCAGTGAGAATTAATACATTAGATTTCACTTGTAGTCTTTTATTTAATATTCGTGAAATTTGCCGGAAGTCTAAGAAATCACAAAAATGTTTCACAATTATGATGTCTATTCGAAGAAAATAAAGAATTTAAACTAATGCAATACAAATTCCATTAAACGTTTGAGATGATCATGTGAATCAATATGATAATATGGAAACAAAGTTCACTAAATAAAATGAATTTCAACAAACCTCAGTCGTTTATATTTGCGCATTAGTACTCGCTGTGACTCAAGAAAATCAAAATACAATTCATGATTCACTACCTTATAGAATTATTATTCACTAAAATACGTATTGCTTATGTAACCTTTGGAGTGACCTTAATTATACTGAAAAAATGTAGAATGAGTTAAAGTGATTAATTCAACAGTAGAATAAACTATCGAATTAGATTATTGTTTACACGTAACAATATGGATAAGCAGAGAAACTTATAACCTTTTTGGGCACAAGGCTTCGTACTATAAGTAATCAAGTATTATACATCGATCTCGCATAAGAATATTATGTGTCTACCTGGAAGACAGAACTCGACAAGTGATCACATTTTTCGTAAAGCATGCAAAAATATATTGGTGTGATGTGTTTGATTTCCCTTACATCGTTTACTGAAGCAAATAAACTTGTTAGTTATCCCGAACGATGACTCACAAAAAAATCTAGAAAATAGTTTCCTATGTCTATCATCAATCAATAACTGATGGAATGTTTGCTAAGTACATAAGAATTTGTGTACAAATTGTTGTAATCAGTTAAAACAAATAGACTTGAAAATCTACAGAAAAATAATAGCTCTAAGAAAAAGTGATCACAAAACCCGTATTAGTACTGATTAATTAACTCAGCGCTTCAGTCAAGAGTTCCATCGTTTGCTGTGTAGTGGTTTGCTTTAAACCTTTAAGAAGTTATTTACGTGTAAGTATGTTTCCCTTATGCAGTTCAAAAATAAAACTAAAATGTACAACTAAAACCCTAAAAACCACTAACTGGATCTTTCAAAGAAGTGGATTCTAAAAGTTACTGTAGAACGACAGATGTATTTTATATCTGTTCTTCATTTTCCTTGTTTATTTTTATTCGGTCATAATCGAAATACAGTTATCTCACTGAGAAGTGGAATGCAAAATACAGGAATATCTCAATTGTTAATTGTTTGCATAAATCAGTAATCCATGAAGCATATCTCAACCTGATCAGTGAAGATAATTTGTGTCGGGTGTGAGGTAGTTACCGACCTAAGACAATGGAAGATGGTCGCGTAATATCATGGATTGGTCGAAGCCAGACATCAACACCGTTGGATGCCGGCTCTATGACCTAGAGGTCAAGCATTCGTGTATGGGACCCTGGGTTCGAACCCCGCGTGCGCGATTGTGGATGCTCACTGCTGAGAATTCCTATAAGGCCTTCCAGGTTCTAAAAAGTGGTTTAACATTGGTCAGTTCATGATGTCAGTCAAAATTCAACAATCTCCACAACCATAAACTGCTAATTAGATCAGTTAAGTCTTTTTTACATTTGTAAGTAAAAGTTTAAGTGTAAAGTACGTTGAATATTCTATTTGGTTACCCATGTATTTCGATGGCATGGTTATACTGTATGACCCTTCATACGCAGAGAGCTTCGACTTAACTCCAAAATATCATGAGGAATGAATGTGTTTTTTGGTCGGTTTATTTCAATAATCTAAAAACTGTATTCCAATCTAGATTGATCACTAAATCATATTATCTTAAATTAAACTGTAACATTATTAAAACCCCCTAATTATCTGTCTCTGATTGAAATTTCAACCTATCAACTTAGTTTTTAAATGCAATTTAGACATAGACCGTCAGTCAAGACTAATATTCGTGAAAAAAGAAATTATGTATATATAGAATTTTTAATTTAAAATCTAAAAATATTGTATTTCTCATTTGACTGACAGTAGATAACTTTTTAGCATACTTCAAAAAAAAGAAATTTTGATTTACACTTCTAAATGTTCTTCATGTATGCTTTGAAGAGATGTTTTACAATATTATGTCCAAATTACATTGGTGGTTTATATCAGCGCTATAGGATAATCATATTTCAACTTAAAGTGGTAAGGTATTTATAATTAAAGTTAAAAAAATCTTTTTTGACGCATTTTTTATCTTATTGTTATAACAACTGGTCGTTAAATGTGTAATTTGACTGGTACTAAGATTTAGTGTTCAGGTAAAACATCTGAAAAAAGAGTATCCTTGGAGAAGTCAGAAAGATGATAGCTTAATGAACAAGCAGTAAGCAATCTTTAAGGAATAATTATGAATACTTATGTTCATTATTTATTATTCAACTAGTAGATAGAAAGTTATAATAAAAATTAATGAACTTCAATTGATCTAAAATAAATTTGTTTATTTTTGTCAGTTTTATTATTGAAAACTTACACGTTGAAGCACGACCGCTTGTCGTTAATTGAGTTGATATGGGCACTGGTTGTGTTTTTGATGAAGCCGATGCAGCAACATTAGCTGCAACACCCTTACGTGATCTTATATACCATGATTCAGTTGATGCATGACTAAACATTAGACTACTGAAATGTGTTAAGCATATAAATGATAAAAGAATGATATATTTTGGATCAATCATCAAAAATATCTCCAAAGATTTGTGTAAATTGATGAAGAACATTCATAGAACCTGTAAATAAAATGACAGTAAATTATTTATTTCATTTATTTTATTTATTTATTTATGGCTTTATTCAATATTATATTTTGGTACAATATAGAATTCTCAGCACAAAAATATTTCAACAAGTTTCTTTTACAGAACAAAAGAAAAAAACGGTTAAAAAAATCTGAAAAAAAACTGTACAACTTTTCAATTAGAGTCATGTTAAGAATGCGGATTATTGACTAGGTTAACTCTAACAACCTGTTCGTCACAGAGTACATTTGCTAGGTGAGGTACTATAGAACGTTTATACTTTTGCTTGCGTGCTTGGATTTTAATGTAATTTCGTCTCGTTCTACCAGAAGATATACAAGGAGAAAGATATGAGTGAAGGGGATTGTTAGTATCTGATGAAATAACATCTGCCAGGAGTTTGCATGACTTTAGATGTCTATCCACAATCATATTAATTATGGTCTCGAAAGATTCACCACATAACTTGCTAACTGCCTTCAGCGCTCTCCGCAGTACAGCAAAGTTTTTCTCAAAAGCCCGGGAAAGAATAACGGAGAACAGTACAGAATAATAGGTAATATGCAAGAATTGACAAATTGTAGGAGTAAATGACGAGTGATCCCAAGAGCATGCAACCTCTTAATGTAGTAAGTCAGACGGAAAACTTTCCTCGATAACAATAAAACGTGAGAAGACCAAGAGAGATCAGAGGAAAAGGTAACGCCAAGATAATTGACCGTCGACACTGTGTTTATCAAAGAGTCGCCAATGGCACAAGCATTATGAGATCTCAAAGAGGTGTTTAAATGCCGATCATGTCTCATGCTAAAGTTAACAGCTTGACATTTAGACGGATTAAGTAGGAGACCATTAACGACAGACCAACTATCAATGCGAGATAAAAACTCGTTCATTTCTATAGGATGTAAAGAGGAAGAGATAGGGATACAAACAGTGAGATCGTCTGCATATTTCAGGAAAGTGTTTACTGTGGAAGATGGCAGATCATGTAGAAAAAAAGAGAAAAGAAGAGGTGAAAGAACAGCTCCTGGTGGTACACCTTCATAAGACACTAGAGACTCTGAACACTTTCCTCCAAACACCGTGTACTGTTCCCTTCCAGAGAGGTAGGAACATAGCCAGTTGGTTATCCAGCTGTCAGTGTTGACGCTGATTAACTTGTTAAGTGAACGTTGTCTTGATATAGAATCAAAAGCAGAAGTATAGTCCAGGAAAGCGCATCGAACATACTTCTTACCCTTTTCTAGGTTGAACACTATATTATGATTCAGAACAGCAACAGCATCTAAGGTGCTCCTTTTGCATCTGTAAGCAAACTGATAACAAAATTAGTTGTAATAAGTTTTGATGAATAAAACAGAAGTATTCATAATTCAGTGAAACAGCAATTTACCTTTTAAAAATTCTGTTTATAAAAGGGATATTTTATTTCAATAAGTCCCTGTAGAATAATGTTTATTAGCATCGTATAACTTCAAACATATATTGACTGGAACTCAATGATTTATTTGTTAAGAAATCTTTTTAGACAAAGTGAAACTGTTACGAATACCATTATTTACCAACTTAAATGAAAGAAGGTATATTCACATAATAACAATATTTTCCATCACCAACTGACTCCAGGCGGAGAATTATCGAAAACAGAATTCACTAAACAGCTATTTCGTCCTAGAGCATGATCATAAATCCATCGAAACTAAATCTAACAGTTGTTTTTGGTTCAGTGTTATAGAGTAGTAGCATTTGTACCAATATCTAGAAGGCATCTGCTAAACTCCATCTATGGTCCCAGTTGTGTATTGGATGCCTTATGAAACAGTTCTGAAACACCAACCATTTGTAGTTATCTGGCTTATTTCACTTACTTTTAGAAAGAAAATCCAGAAATATTAGAGTCAAAGTCATAGGTGTACTTACAGACCATCTGAGTATTAAGAGGATTATATTTACACTAACTGATTGGAAACATACAAGAGAACTTTCTGATTAAAGCTTTGTATAATCTTTAGTAAATGGATGGATTGATTTACACTCCACTACAGTGGTTATCGGTCATATTAGTTTAGATATTTCTGTCAATTATTTTATTAATAAGATATGGCTGAGTGTAATCATATTAGTGGTTGACATTAAAGTAGATTACGTCCCAATGGGTAGCCACATAAATATAATCACATTTACCAAATCATTTTAAGTAATTAAGAATACGGTTGTTTTTTTTTAAAAATAGTTCAGGTAATAAACTTGGTAATACCAGCAACTTCCATTCCTTAGAACAAAGTATATATAGGTACTTCCCACAGACTTATTTTTTAATAAGAAATATAAAGATGACATTTTTTATACAATATGTAAGGTTTAAATAGATATATGAGTTGGACCGTAGTGAATAACCAACCATTTAGAATTCGGAAATTTGGTGGAATTCTTTATGAGTAGTCTAACCGTAGATGTGCTTTCGACCAGAAACTAAGTGAACTGAATTGGAAAGTCTTTTTTAACAATATATATATATATATATATATATATATATATATATATATATATTTGTAATTAATATATTGCGTGCATTCATTTTCAAACTCTTACCGGTAAAATATCACTTTATATGGATTGTTAGATCTTATATTTTTTTAAAGCCAAAACCATATGTTTATTAGAATCTCTATGGTCTAGAGTAATTATATGCGGATCTTATATATACAAGCATTCCCTATGTACGCATAAATTCTTGTCATTTTATTCTGAATAAATGCAAATCTACTGGCTGTAAGGTGGATGGAAATTACAAATTTGACATAGACAACAAGATTCTACTTGAGAGCAATGACTGCCTTCTTACTTGAATTGCATATCAGAACTAAAAGGCGAATATCATTACGTAAAATGTAAATTAAAAATACGAATTCAGTACAAAAGTGCTAAGCTAAGAATTCGAAGTTTGTAGATCATAATTTAACATCGTCAATCTCATTTTGAAGGCGATTATACATGCAACTACTAAATACGAAGCTTTCTGTTTAATGAGTATATTTTGATGTTATTCAATGACTAACGTATAATAATTTAGTAGTTGTCCTCAACCTGGAGTTATATCACATTATAGAAATAAATTATTTGTCTGTGTTTACACTTTTAACTTTTCATAAATAAAACGGATGTTTGAAATTTCTCGTGCTACAAAGCCAAACTACGTTAAATAACCGATGTTAATGATTTTGTCTCTAATATCATCAGAAGGGGAGAACCACTATAAAAAATGTTCAGCCAAAAATGGGGACAACATCCATTCAATTTGTTTATAAGTTATTTAAAAATATTTTGCGAACTTACATTTGAACTAAGAACTTCTGAATATTTAAACCGCTTATCGGGCTAAGGTACGTTTATAAAAAATGTATATCAGTTACTGTTGATCTTAAAATCAGACCGGTTGACTGAACTCAGCTGTGGATCGAATTCATCATTTGTAAACTGAAGAGGATTTTATCAAAACTATCACCAGCGATTATTATTATAAAAAACTATCGGCTTATTAGTTAAATTAAATTATACTTCAAAGTAAACGTATTGCTTTGTTTAGAAATAAAAAAATTAATTATCTACGTCAACTTCATAACAAAATCTTTAGGGCTAAATTGAAATTTGCCTTACAGCGCTTCTGAAATAGTCTTGAAGACAACACAACTACTTTAAAAAAACCTAATTAAAGAAACTCTGTTGTAGGTAATTGTATAAAATGCGCTGGTGAGAAATTGAATAAATCCATTTTGATATTATTTTGTCACTTTTTGTTCTGCACATAAATATGAAAGAGATATAGGTCTTCGGCACTAAGCGGAATAAAGCTTATGTTTATGAAAAGATAATTTCTTATTGATATAAACACTGTGTCGGAAATTCGAACTAACAGTTTACTTACAGTTATCATGACTAACGAATTTGAGTATCATCATTTTGTTTTGTTGTGATCAAAGACCCATCTTGTACTAAATTCAACTTTTTTCTTTCTTTCTGTTACTAATTATTACTTCTAAACAAACAATAAGAATTTTATCATAGCTTTCTTTTATATAAACACAGTAAGTGTTTTGGATTTTCTTTTTTTTCTGCTCTTAGTTATATATATTATTTTACAGAATCAATCAAACTTAAACCCTAATTGGACTAACTCAATTTTTATGTGAAGGGAAGAAAGAGATAGTTAGTAAGAAGAGTAGGAAGGAGCTATAAGAACTAACTGTTCACCTTGTCTTATCAGATAAACTTATCGACAATTGAATCAAGTAATTACAATCTAATAATCAATTAGGATAATCTTGATTTATTGGATTCATTCACTTTATTCTACCATAAGTGAGCTTATATTCACTACTTTAAAGACACTAGCAGTATTTATTAGTTTTCTTCCTATTTTTAGCGTTTTTCCTTTCTCTTCTAACTTTATTAAATGCTGGTGCACGTTTCTCTTTTTATTATCGGGAATGAGATCTATCTTTTATAATATACTTATATATTCACAGTGTTATTTTAGGTAACGCAAAAGTGCCTATGTCAAATATCGTTAAAACCTTTATGCTTATTTAGAAGATTCGAAGGCTGCTAAGACAAGTTTATTAAGAACTTTAGCCGAAAAACATATTTTGAATGAAACTGTCTCAATACGTGGATCTCAGTCCCAAAATACCAAGTCATTAAACAAGTAGTTGGACAATTTTTTTTATAAAAAAGAAGAAAATCGTTGAAATTCCATCAAAATGTTTTTTCGGTCTTCATGAAGTTTAACGTATCTCAGTTCTTCCTTTTTGATGTAAACAATTGTTTAATGATATTCATTAAACACTTCACTTCATTAGTGATTATTAATCTGAGTATAATAACTACAATTTTATGATTAAAGTTGTTCATGACAACTAATTGGCTTCCCTCCTTTAGAAGATTTCACCTAATATTTGAAGCAATGGAAAAAATAGAGT